ATGGCGGATGGGTTGGGTTGGGTGGGGCCATACCAAAATAGCAGACGTGGCGGCCTCAGGAGGTCACGTGCGTGTGCACAGGCCATGACGGTATGTGATCCTTCCTCGTACACTGGTACTGGTTTTTTTTTAATAAAGTGATTTGTTTATCAAAAATTAGAGTTCGAGCAGTATTCTCATTATTTGATTGAAAATAAGTAAATAAAATAATAAATAAACAATTGTTTGAACATTGCTAATAAAATGATGTGTAATAGATTAATTGTGTTTACGTTGGATATAAACTGCTTAGTATGTAGTTGTTGTGTTTGTATTGTAATTGTGTTAACCTGCCTAATTCGAAAATGACATAAACTAACATGCTAAATCATTGTGTTTTCATGACATGTTTACCAATCGTTTTTAACATACTTTAGTTTTTTAAAAGTTTTTATGTTATATATGCTTTCAAGTTTAGTTTTAGTGAGAATTAGGTTAGATTGTAATTATTTTAGGTAATAAAACGAGTTATACATGTAATCTCGTATTATGCTTGTAAGATCGTGTTACGTTTGTTTTTTGAGACTCTCAAGTAAAAGTGACATGCTTGTGATGGCCTTAATCGTGTTCACTTATGCCATGGGCACAATTCACTAACACGATATCCATTTTAATACTCAATATGATACTCGACATTCCAAGCATATCCTTCGATCCACAAATTCAATTTATTTATTGAAAACAGTTGCACAACAATTTTTACTTTAAACACCCAAAAACTTTTGGAGTTGGGGACCTAAAATGGAAGAGCAAGTCTCACAATGTCACTCATGGCGAGTGGTCACCAAATTAGGACAAACCAATTTGTGGTGTAGAATATGGGAGAAGGAAAATGTCATCGAAAGAATTAGGATGGAGAAAGAAATTCACAATCATAGACAGATTTCTAATGAGATTATCAGAATTGTCGATTTGTTTGGCGCATGTAGATTTTATTAAACGAATACAAACGATAGTCTAAACTATAAGGGGAATAGAGGTACCATGAGAGTTCGAATTTAAAACCACTGATTTACGATCTCTAATTTAGTTAATTTTTTGTCGAGATGATCTTTAAATTGTGATTCAGAAAATGAGTTATTTCGATAATAACATGTGTATGGTGAAGACCACGCTCGATAAGTTGAGAGCAACTAACTATGTATTGTTCCAAACAAATACATCAAGAAACTATGTGTTGTTCCAAACAAATACATCAAGATGTAATGATCGACCCTTGTTGATTAGGTTAGGTTTTGCATCTGCTTTCATTCTTTTGACTTGGTCTTTGTTCGACCTTTGTTGTTCTTTTTGCTTTTTGAGAAATTTCAATTCAGAATCAAAGAAAGATACTTCTACTTGCTTCTTTTTCTCCTCCTATAGTTTTCAAACAACAACTAGCTTTACGTTTCCCATCTACAAGACTACAAACATTAGATCCAAATTGCCAAAACCTCTATAGTTATCATGCACTCTTCCCTCGTACAACAATAAAAGTTTTCTGACAATCAAAGTTTTCTGAATCGATTACCCGAAGACCACACAGTAAGGGCATGTTTACGTATTAGTAATGGGTATGGAAGGAAATGGAATGATTTCCATTCCTGACTTCTCATGCGTTTACTTGCAATCAAGAATGAAAAAATAAGTGGGCCCCACCTCAAAATCCGTAATCACATTCTCTCAAAACTAGGAATCAGATCAACTAGGGGGGAGTAGTCGATACGATTCCCATTCCTGTTTTCTCTTAATAACTTCCAAAAATACCCTTATCACTTTACCATAATTCTAAAATTAATTTGGATTCTGATTCATGCAAATTAGTAAACAATAACAATGGGAATCAATCTCATTCCATTGCTAATTCCATATGTTTAGTAAACAGCTTAATGGGAATGATTCTTTCCATACCGATTCAGTAGTTCTCCCATTCCTAAATTCTTTGATTCCTTAATTTCTCCATTACTGATACGTAAACATGCCCTAAAAGGAAAACTAAACTTACACAAATAGGATGATCATGTTGCCCATTTTAATGATCCAATGTGGTAATGATAGTTAGTTCATGTCAGTTTCCATATGCATTACTACCCATTTTACCTCGGTGTGCAAAGAGGTATAAATGAGACACATTAGGGTGGGTAAGTTATGCCTAGGGCAAAACTTAGGAGACAAAATTGTGATGACCAAAGTCAACAAAAGATGAAAACCAAAATCTGGACATTGGACCTTGTGTATCTCACTCTTGTCACTTCCTCTTTTTTCTTTCAGGTGCTTAAAATTTGAGTCCAGATCTAGTGTCCTTATTTTCGGCGTCCCTTGCTGTTTCTTGACACATGTCCAACCTTTTAACCCCGAGAGCCACCAACCCTACCCACACAACCCCACTGGCAGCAACTGCACTCCACTGTTAGCAAACCCTTCCCTCCTCTTTCTCAATCTTTCTCTTTCTACACTCGACTGGTCTATGGTTTAGTTCGATACCAAATCATTCCTAGTATATATAGACTTAAGAGGGTAAAGAGGTAGTGATGCGATAAACTCTCAACACAATAATGTCAGTGACAGTGCTAACGTGATTGAAACAAAATTCATGTGAAACAACATAGTAATCCATATAAAGTTGCACTTGCAGGATCCGAACTAAACAGAAACATCCATCATGTTCAACTATTAACCAGACATACACTAGAAATTGCATCAGCTAATAACACACACACACTCAAAGTCATGATAAATAAACAAACAAAATGAGAGCATAAAATGGCAACACAACTGCACTGCACTGCACCAACACAAACAACAGTCTTATGCGAGTAACCAAAACATCAAACAGGGAGAGGTAGGAGCTTCACCAAAGAAGACCCATCTCCAATCAACGCAACCTTCTTGCTTCCCTCTCAGACTCGAGCAAGGTCAGGATATCCCCCTCCCTCACTGGCCCCTTGACATTCCTCATAATGAACCGATTCTGGTCATCCAGAAACTTGACTCGCACTTGAGTCACCTGCCCTCGAGACCCAGTCCGACCCATAACTTTCACCACCACAGCATGCTTTATAGTGGAATCCATTCTTCACCACAAAATAATACAACAAAAGGAAAATCAGAAAAAATAAATAAACAAATTTTTTATTCCGTTCAAACCCTACAAATTACTTCCCAATGCATCCATTAAGTCTCCTCCAAATCTTTGAATTGTAAGAGGAGGACAGACCATTTCATTAAAAAATGACAATTAGTAAAAAAAAACAAAAGTTATTTCAAACCCAATTACAAATTCAACCCACAAAAGCAGCCGCAAAGAATTGAACAGGGTATTTTCCAAAAAACCAAATCATCAGAAAAGTATCAGAATCCATTAGAGTTGCATAGCAGCACCTGAGTAACATACAAACTAGTTTCACAGCACAATAGTTAATCAAAAGCCAAAGCTACTTATTATAAGCCAAATACAACTTACCCATGTGTCTCCTTTTCTCTCTTAGGAAAAAAAGCACCACTAGCCATAACACACAAAACATTCCCAAGCTACCATTTTTACAGGTCTCAACAAAATTTTCACAAATATGACATATGGTAATATAGAGTTTATAGCTTCAATTTTGTATACGATTGTTGCACACCCCAAAAAAAAGCGAGAGAGAAGAAGCTGAAGCATGAAAACCACAGAAAGAAAATTGAACAACTCGAAATTCAGGTGGGTACCAATTACCCACGATAAAAAATGAAAAAAAAAATCATAAACCTAAGTCGAACTTTTGGGCTTTGAAGAAGCACCAGTTTCATCAATTCACTTTGACAATTTATAAAATTAAATATCGTGCTTACTATTGTCCATAAAAGATAAAAACAAAGAGGGGAGATTAGAGGTAAGCTGTAGGTACCTCTGATTGTCCAGAGGTTGAGACTGCAACACTGGCCGTCGGGAATATAGAGAGAGAGACGCACAGACAGAAGGGAGAGGAGAGAGAGAGAGAGGAAGTTATAGGAGGTTTTAGAATTAGGATTTATTTGGTATTGGAATTACAGAAACACCCTTAGCCCATTGACTCAATGGTTTCCTTATGGATTAGGCCCATAAACTTAATGGGTTGCTTCTGGATTTGCCGTTAGTATCTCTTCCCTTTTAGAGAGCCCATTAGTATCTAAGAGTATCCACAACATCGAATTAAATGTACACGAGAAAACGTAAGTAGTTAAGAGTATTTATTCTTGCACTCAAGATTCTATGTTTGATTTTCTCATTTTTTCAATATCGTTTGTATTATTAAAAATAAATAAAAAACACACAAAAAATAATAATTTAAATAATTAATTACCGATGCTCACTATTTATAAAATATCAAAGATATAGTCGATGCAATTTGGTGTACTTGGTCAGAATATTAAAATTAATTTGGCATTAAAAAAACCTCCAAATAAGCTTGTACACATATATGACTGTTTTTATTTTAATTTTTAAGAACAAATGCATTGCCGTACACCATCACTTTACTAAATGCTTTTTGCAATTTGGAGGACAAAATTATTGTCGACGACGGTATATATATAGTATGGGAGCAGATCCGCGGTCCCCAAACCCCTGTCCCCTCTGTGTCCCTTGCTTAACTGGGTGACATCTGAACTTCCACTTAACCAACGTATTAACAGAATAGAGTTAGCGCTGTTAATACTTTAGTTAAGTGGAGGTACAGATGTCACTCATCTATGCAAGGGACAGGCGCAATGCGCTAACGGCTCCTATGGGCATACTTCACCAGTATGATGACACAACGACACGGACAAACACCATACAACACAAAAAGTTGCATGTGGAATTGGAATGTTCTATTTGCATGGTTGCCACGTACATAAACGTGTCCCTGCACCTCCAAATGGAAACTCACCAAAAAAAAAGTAGAAAAAGAGACCGACAAAAATTTATATATAATTCAAAAGCACCAACAAAAACAACACAAGATATCTCAGCCGAGAAAGTGATGGAGACGAAAGTTGCAGAGCAGGCAGTGGGGGAGCAAGGCAGCAAGGACGAGCAACAGGGGAAGAAGAAGATGAGGGTGATGGTGGCCATAGACGAGAGTGACTGGAGCTTCTACGCGCTCAAGTGGGCGCTTGACCATCTTTTTGTGGGGCCCAATGACAAGGCCGGTGTGGCGGCGACCCTGGAAGCACCTGCGGGGAGCCAAGAGAATGTGAGCATGGCCACTTTGGTCCACGTTATGCCGCCGTTCTATAACTACGTCCTCCCGGCTGGGCCCGGTGGGGCTGCATATTATGTGACGCCGGCTCTGTTGGAATCTGTGCGCAAGGCTCAAGAAGACGGTGCTGCCGATGTAGTCTCCCGCGCTTTGGAGATGTGCAAGGATAAGATGGTAATTAATTAGTTTATAATACTCTCCCGTCCCGTGTTGTGTTATATAAAACTTAATTAACATGATGTGCAGATCAAAGCAGAAACCCTAATTCTACGTGGAGATCCGAAGGACATGATTTGCGAAGCCACTGAGCAGAGGTATGTGGATCTTCTGGTTGTAGGTAGCCGTGGCCTTGGCATGGTCAAGAGGTGATTTCTCCATCTACACACAGCTTATTACATGTTTACTGAACTCAGATTATTTTCTCTGTCAAATTCAGGATGTTCATTTGGAATTCACTCAAAATCCCAAAAATACATATAAATATTTATTTTCATCAGCATTATTGTATTTAATTTGTATTATTAATTATTATTATTTTTAAAAAAAATTGGTTGGGTGGTGGTGCAGAGCATTCTTAGGAAGCGTGAGTGACTACTGCGCGCATCATGCAAAATGCCCAGTTGTAATTGTGAAGCCACCAAAGGAGACTGGAAAGAAGTAGCTTTTTATTAGAGTTTTTATTTATTTATTATGAAATGTATCAAGAGCAGAAGGTGTAAACTGTAAAAGTTCCTTTTCATGTAATTATTATTATGAATGGTTTCTTCTGGTAAGTTTTTTGTTCATCTAATTACAAAACTCCAGTCTCCCAGCTACGTACATAATACATTGACCAATTTCAGATTGTGAATAGATATAATTAGGGGCATTTTTTGTCTTCTCGTCATCAATATAAAGACGAAATGTAGAAGTGTTTGGGAATGCTTATGTAAGAAGCAATACGGGAGCGTGCTTATCTAAAAACCGATTCTACTGCTTTAGAAACGTGTTTATATTATAAACACAACAGAACTTTCATTTAAAGTGCTTATCTAAAAGAGATGCTATGGGCACTGCCTTAAATATCAACTTATTAATACTAACTTATGGGGTATATGACATGGCAATTTATGTCATCAAAATTTTTTTTTTTTTTTTTTTTTTTTTTTTTTTTTTTTTTTTTTTTTTTTTAATAATAATTAGTTAATAATTTTTTTATTAAAAATAAATAAAAAACTAAACCTAAATAAATAAATCTTCTTCTCACGCCTTCCTTCTTTCTCAGATCTACCATGGCCTCCTCTTTCAAAAATACTCATACCCCTTCCCCTCTTCTCCGTTTGACCTTTTACCAATCTCATATGTCTTATTGGTCCTCATCCAAACAAATGTTGAAGCAAACGGCATCTCATGCCTCCTGTAAACCGAGTATCCTTCCCTAGATGATGTGTCGTTCCCCCAAGGTTGGGATGTACTATGTGGGGGACCTGCACATTTAGAACAACTATCAGGGTAGGAGCAAACTAGGGGTGATCCCAATAGAACTCCCTCTGATGATGAAGTAAGGTTGGGATGTACTATGTGGGGGACCTACACATTTAGAACAACTATCAGGGTAGGAGCAAACTAGGGGTGATCCCAATAGAACTCCCTCTGATGATGAAGTCAGGTAAGGCAATAGGATAAGGATAATGTATATAGGGTTTATTTTGTGAGAGTAGTTATTACCTTTGTCCAGAGATAGGTGATGGGTATTTATAAGGGGGAGAATAAAAGGTAAATATATTTTTTGGAAGAGATCTTTTCCCCTATCTCCCCTATCCTGAGTTACATTTAATGTTCTATCTCAGTTCACCATATTGCTTACTTGGAGATGGAAGGGTAAGGTGACACCTAGTCGAGGACAGGACACACATTAACTGACCCTTCTTGCTTGTCAGGTTTGTTGGTCATCCATGTACCTCTGGTTGAATAGAGTGCTCTGGTGATCGGTTAAGCACTAAAACACCCGATCACTGGTCCAATCTCTGGTCCATTGTACTCCGACTGGTTGGTCATGGCCGCGTGGTGTCTTCTGATGGGCTCGGCTCGTAGAGGGTATGAGCTATTAATACATCCTAAGTATGCAAACCAACAATTTATTCTGATTCAAAGATTGGATTCATACGAATAAACAAACCAACAATTTACTTTGATCCAAAAATTGTGTCACAGAGAAAAAAAATTGTTTAAATAGTTTGCATTGAATTTTTTTGCGTGGAAGGCAACAACTCGAAGTTATACAAACAAAAACAAAATGATCACAGCATGCCCAAACCCAACAGTCCCAATGAAACCAAACGTTAATTTCAGCCTTCACGGCTCTCCCTCCAACGTGGTTTGTACACTCTTCTATGCCTTCACGTATGCAGACCAGTGTTTTCAAAGGCATGCCTTCGCGCGATTCGAAGCGCGCGTCGGAGCGAGGCGGGAGGAAAACGCCCGAGGTGGTCGGCTGTTTCGCGAGTTGCACGTTTAGCGCTGGGAAGGCGTGAGAAGGCGTTGCAAGGCGTGGCCAGCCAGAGCGAAGCGTTCCAAGGCGCACCTAGAAACTTCTGAACCAGAAGAAATTTTCAGTTTGCAACTCGTCTGCGGGGAAGACGGCGTCGCGAGGAAGACGACTCCTTTTTTTTTATAGGTTTATTGTAATGAAACAACGTCGTTTTGATTGTAGTGTTAAAAAAAAAAAAACGATGTCGTTTCACTGGTGTTGAAAAAAAACACGCTGTTTCAGTTTTTTTTTTTTTTTTTAAAAACACTGTTTCAGTTTTTTTAACTTACCTTTATTGTAATAAACTTATTGCAAGAATTAATAATTTTTTTTTCTACTTACCTTTTTGTTTTTCTCTTCTTCCTTTCTCTAAATTAATATATTAACACATGGACTATATATATATATATATATATATATTGTATAGTACATGTAGAACCCTAATTTCTACCCTTAGCAGATAACTCCATCAATTTCAAGAATTCTCTTCATCTTTCGACTGCAAGTAAGTCATTTGTTTTTGTATGTACATGCATCATACTTGTATAATTTGACTGTAATAAACTATAATTTGAAGTTCCGTACAATTTTTTCAATTTTTATTTATTTATAAATATACTAGTTATCTTATTTGTTTATGTGATATAATAGAAATATGACGTACATGCATCATACTTATATTTTAGAAATATTAATGGTATTGTTTTATAGGTATGATATTAGTGTTGAGGAGTGGGATGAGTGAATTATGTTTTTGTTTTGATGTTGAATAAATATTTTATGTTTTGGAATTGATTATTATGCTTTGAATGACAATTAGTACTTATATTTGATTATATTTAAAAGACTGTTATGGTTGAATAAGAATTAATTGTACAATTTAATCGTATTGTATTATTCATAAATTTTTCTTATTAAAATAAATTAATGTTCAAAAGGCTTACGCCTCAACGCTTCAAGGCTTACGCCTCGCATAGCACTACTAAAAACGCCTCACCTATACGCCTCGCCTTTGAAAACATTGATGCAGACTAATGTTTGCAAAAAAATTCTCATACATGACCACGACACTGATACATAAATGAGAAGAGAATTCCTTGGTAAGTATCAATATTGCGAAACAGTTGCAGCATTGAAGGGTTGTGTGATGTATTGCTTGATGTGGAAGATGGCCCAAACTAATAAAAATGAGGAAGATGGATAAACATATGGGAGATGCCCAGAATATCTATATAGTCTGTTAACTGAAACCATGACAAGATTTGGGAAGTGAGGCCATGGCAGATGACATGGGTTGACATGTCATGTGTCAAATAAGTTGGTATCACTAAGTTGGTATTTAAGTTGGTGTCTATAGCATTACTCTGTCTAAAAAGCGATTCTGCTTTAGAAACGTGTTTATTATAAACACAATAGAACTTTCATTTAAAGAACTTAATAGGTGTTTCGAGAAAGCACTACTAAACAGCCCCAAGTCGAAGCACATCATAGAAGATAATGGGTAACAAACAATGCAAAGCTAAAGGTGTGGATCTAACTAAGACGAACCAGGGGTAATTGGGACTTCGTTACAGACCACCTCTCTAAGCTCACCAACTCGGACAGGTGTCGCCATATGATTGGAGAGAGAATTTAATGCATTCCTAATCCCCTCCAACTGTCCCCACTTGCTGGTCTCCTTTGTAATCAGCACAACAACCCATGCATAACCACTCCCTCTAAACTTTTTATTATAGTTATAAAAAGCTATATTTTCTAATATTCTACACACATGTAAATAAAATCAAATAATTTTTTTTATGTGAAGCTATATATGCAGGATTTATTTTCGACTTCGTCATGGCCTTAAAAATCTCATGTCCGACGCACTTTGATAAGAAGAAGAAGATCATCCATTATGTTCTGACCGAATAAAACTCTGACAATCGGATCAAAAGTCCTCAGTTGACCACCCGATCTTCCAAGTGTCAACAGATAAAACAAGACACGAAAATAGTAAAACACAGAGTTGCGTCGAGGTCCATCTCATCTCATATACCGATAATACAATTAGCTCTCAACCCACAGAAATGCCAAAATTGCATGAGGAATTGGAATTTTCTATTTGCATGGTTGCCACGTACAGAAACGTGTCCTTGTACCTCCACCTTTAAGAAAAAGAGACCGACATATATACATATATATACCATTCAAAAGCACCAACAAAACCACACAAGAAGAAGAAGAAGATATCTCAGCCAAGCAAGTGTTGCAGACACCAATAGTTGCAGAGCAGGCAGTGGTGCAAAGCAGGGACGACGAGCAACAGAGGAAGAAGATGAAGGTGATAGTGGCCATAGACGGAAGTGAGGAGAGCTTCTATGCGCTCAAGTGGGCCCTTGACCGTCTTCTTGTCGGGCCCAAGGACAACGCCGATGATGTCGCCACAAGCACAGGCACGGCGACCCTGGAAGCACCTCAAGCAGGGAGCCATGAGAATGTGAGCATGGTGACTCTGGTTTATGTTATGCAGCCGTTCCAGAACTACGTCCTCCCTGCTGCTGGGTCTGCTGAATTGCGCAAGGAACAAGAAGAAAAGGCTGCTGCTATACTCGCCCGTGCTTTGGAGATTTGCAAGGATAAGATGGTAATTAATGAGAGATTCCTTACATATGAGTTTTAAGATTCCTCAATAGAATAGCACTAACACACACGATGTTTTAATGTTTATGCCGAATTGGTTAGAGCAGATGTACTCATCACATTATACCCGAGTTTTAATCCCCTTTATCAGTAGTTTAGATTAGATGCTTATATTAAAGTAGAATATCGCTTTTATAAAAAATAAAAAAAAAAAAAAAAAAAAAAAAAAAAAAAAAAAGTATTAAAAAAAAATTGGTTTTAAAAAATAAAATTATGTTTTTTTTAATTAATCATTTATCAGGTTGGTTGGTTTCTTAATTATATTTTTTTTTATTAAGGATTTTAATTATGGGTTTGTAGCGATGCATTTTGGATGAACTTAATTAACATGATGTGCAGATCAAAGCAGAAACCCTAATCCTACGTGGAGATCCGAAGGACATGATTTGCGAAGCCACAGAGCAGAGGCATGTGGATCTTCTGGTTGTAGGTAGCCGTGGCCTTGGCATGGTCAAGAGGTGATTTTCTCCATCCACACAGACACAGCTTATTACATGTTTACTGAACTCAGATTATTTTCCCTGTCAAATTCAGGATGTTCATTTGGAATTCACTCAAAATGCAATATATATATATATATATATATATATATATGATTTTCATCAGCACTATTGTCTTTGATTTGTATTATTATTTTATTTTTTAATTCGTTTTGTTGGGTGGTGCAGAGCATTCTTAGGAAGCGTGAGTAGCTACTGTGCACATCATGCAAAATGCCCAGTTGTAATTGTGAAGCCACCCAAGGAGTCTGGAAAGCAGTAGGTTTTTATATATGAAAATGAAATGTATCAATAAATAACAGATGGCATGAATTGAAAAAGTTCCTTTTCATGCAATCATTACAAATGCTTATGTAGAAAACGCTTTTGCTCCCGTTTGGGATTGCTTATCTAGAAGCACTTATGCTCTAGAAACACTTTTATTATAAGCACAACAAAAATTTTACTCATAATTGAAGTCCTATTTGAGAAAACAAATTAGATAAAGCACTACCAAACAAGCCTTAAATCAAAACACTACCAAACAGACCCTAAGTCAGGCTTTAAGTCAAAGCACTATCAAACTATTAAATAGACTCTAAGTCAGGCCCTAAGTCAAAGAACTATGATCAACCGGACCCTAAGTCAAGTCCTAAGTCAAAGAACTATCAAACAGACCCTAAGTCGAAGCACGATACAAGAAGATAACGGGTAACAAACAATGCAAAGCTAAAGGCTTGGATGTTATATCACAACTCTAGTTTTTCCATTGCTGTCAAACATATAATAACTTCTGTGCTTTCATTTAATCAGAAGTTAGTGTGTGTAGTGATATCCCAACCCAATGTGTTACTTTCAAGTGTCGACAGATAAAACCACCCGGCCTCCCAAGTGTCGACAGATAAAACAGAGCACAATGTGTTACTTTCACAAATAAGCTTTGAGTTTACATATTACGAATTAAATTTAAATTGAGAAGAATTTCACAGGTCACGAGGATGACACGACACCAAAATAGTAAAACACAAAGAGTTGCGTCGAGGTATATCTCATCTCATGTACCCCACGGAAATGCCAAATTTGCATGAGGAATTGGAATTTTCTATTTGCATGGTTGCCACGTACATAAACGTGTCCTTGTACCTCCAATCCAAACAAACAAATGGAAATTCACCTTTAAGAAAAAGAGACCGACATATATACATATACATATATATATATATATATATATATTCCATTCAAAAGCACCAATAAAACCACACAAGAAGAAGAAGAAGATATCTCAGCCAAGCAAGTGTTGCAGACAACAATAGTTGCAGAGCAGGCAGTGGTGCAAAGCGGGGACGACGAGCAACAGAGGAAGGAGGAGAAGATGAGGGTGGTGGTGGCCATAGACGGAAGTGAGGGGAGCTTCTATGCGCTCAAGTGGGCCCTTGACCTTCTTCTTGTGGGGCCCAAGGACAACGCCGATGATGTGGCTACAAGCACAGGCACGGCGACCCTGGAAGCACCTCATGCAGGGAGCCATGAGAATGTGAGCATGGTGACTCTGGTTTATGTTATGCAGCCGTTCCAGAACTACGTCCTCTCTGCTGCTGTGTCTGGTGAATTGCGCAAGGAACAAGAAGAAAGGGCCGCCGCTATACTCGCCCACGCTTTGGAGATTTGCAAGGATAAGAAGGTAATTAATTTAGTTTAGTAGGACGAAATATTAAAGGAATTTAGAAGTTCCACCTCAAAATCAATTGGCAATGGGGAGTAATCCAACTCCTTATAAGTCATTGTTAGGTTTTTCAAATTTTCAATGTGAGACTTTTTACCTTCATGTCCTCTCACGTCCTCTCTGATACCATGAAGGAAGTTGAAGTTTTACCCCAAAACCAATTGACTATGAGGCGAGAAAATCAACTCCTTATAAGTCTTTGTTAGGTTCCTTTAACTTTCTAATATGGGACTCTTTATCTTTATATTTTGACACTCGCTTAAACACTGTGTTTATCAAATTTGTGGATGACAAATCCTTTTAACTTTATGAATGAAACTTAGAAAATAAACGGTTCTGATTGTGAAAATACAATGCGAGTCGACATTGCATAAGTTTAAGATCCCTCAATAGATTAGCACTCTTAACACACACACACACACGATGTTTTAATGTTTATGTTGTTATTTTGTGAATTAATCATTTATCAGGTTGGTTTATGTATCTAAGGATTTCTCTTCCGTTATTAGTTTCTTCATTAATGATTCTAATTATGGGTTCAGATAATTAGATGAGAGGTTTTGTGATGCATTTGGGGGAACTTAACTAACATGATTCTAGTAATTGTGCAGATCAAAGCAGAAACCCTAATTCTAAGTGGAGATCCGAATGACATGATTTGTCAAGCCACAGAGCAGATGCATGTGGATCTTTTGGTTGTAGGCAGCCGTGGCCTTGGCACGGTCAAGAGGTGATTTTCTTATTAATGTTCATTTGGAATTCCAGCTTACAATTGTCACTCAAAATCCAAACAACATTTATTCTATTTTATTTGCATAATTAATTTAATTTAATTTAATTTTGTTTTTTGTTGGGTGGTGCAGAACATTCATAGGAAGCGTGAGTGACTACTGCGCACATCATGCAAAATGCCCAGTTGTAATTGTGAAGCCACCCAAGGAGTCTGGAAAGCAGTAGGTTTTTATATATGAGAAATAAAATGTATCAATAAATAACAGATGGTGTGAATTGAAAAAGTTCCTTTTCATGTAATCATTACAAATGCTTATGTAGAAAACGCTTTTGCTCCCGTTTGGGAGTGCTTATCTAGAAGCAATTTTGCTCTAGAACCACTTTTATTACTCAAAATTGAAGTCCTATTTGAGAAAACAAATTAGATAGGAGTTTCGAGAAAAGCACTACCAAACAGGCTCTAAATGAATACAAGAAGATAATGGGTAAAAAACAATGCAAAGCTAAAGGTGTGGATGTTATATTACAACCCTAGTTTTTCATTGCTGTCAAACATGTTATAAGATACTTTGTGCTTTCATTTAAACAGATGTTAGTGTGCGTGTGGTGATATCCCATTCAGAATCTTCTTTCCCCCAGACCAAATAATCTCAGCATGCTCTCAAACAATACACAGTATACAGACATGGAACTTTACATAAACGAGAAAATGAACATGTAACTATACATAAACGTGAAGATGAACCGGGCCCATCAAACCGGGTCAACCGAGGTCCATTTTGAGAAGTCAAATAGTTAGCTCGCTTGCTTTGATTAGCCCTGCAGATAATTCCCAATCCCATTATTAAACCAAGAAATCTCAAGACTCAACAATTTGGGAAATAAATGAGTTTGAAAGACAGACCTGTTGGCTCAGAATTTCCACTGCCACATTAAGATCCCCATCTGCAGCTGCAAGAGCAACTTCTACCTGTGTCTGTAACCCATACCAAGACATTTATTGACATTCAAAGATCTTCTTCATTAAAGCAAGCATCAGCTATAATGCTGAACATAAAACTATGCTCCTCGATCCTAAAACATTTTTCATAACTAGCCTTGCATTATTCAACTCTACGAATATGAATCAACCTAGATAAGGAAAATGTATACTATATAGGATGGTTAGCTCATTTGATCAAGGAAAAGGAATTTTCAAGTTTTTTACCCTTTCAAAGCCCATTGATACAAGCTTCTGGATTTCTTCTTCAGAAACAACATAATCCTGCACCCAAATGACAAGTAAACCAAGATATATGTGTGAATCAGATGAGCTGGAAGATGTTGAAAGGAAAACTCAACTTATTGATTAAAAGAACAAACCTGATGGTTAACAGGAACTTCTGCTGCAGCGACTGCTGTATTATTTAGGGTTGACCGCCTGAAAATATCAAGGAAATAGATAGTACCAGTTTCCAGTCAGATGCATGGTTGGGAACTCTTCGAATAACAAACTAATGTAAAAATTCTGTTTTTGCACTATTTAAACATGACTCGGACCCGAGGTTAGGAGTGATGGGTTTACTGTCCAAGTCACAAAAGTAAAGACATTCCTTTGTATTTGATAGCACAGAAAATTTCTCTCTCTATCTCTAAAACATGCCATCAGTAGTGATTAATCATAGGCAAGATACTTTCTATCTTTACAACAAGCCATTAGTAGTGATTAATCATTAACAATGTTACTGCCAGAATCACCTTTACCACCACAACCGCTAACATTATAACCTTTTCCACATCTGGAAAAAAATTACTCATGCATCTTAATCACGTTAAAGACTGTTGCAATAGTGTAACCTCAGTTTACATATCTTTTCTCACCAACGAGAAAAACTCTTCTGAATCCATTCAATATAAAAATGCATGAGTAAAAGAACAAGAAAGCCTCTACAAGTGATGAACTACCAAATTTATTGTAAACTGAAAAACACAATCCATGAACAGAAATAACTCGTTAGCCTAGAAGCAGGAAGTTTTCCTAGTACCTTCCATCAGATAACTGCTGTCCTGTACCAATAACTGCCATGTCTGATGGATGTTCTGAGTTGCTATTATCCAAAAGTCTAGCCTGTAAGTTTGATTCTGAATTAGCATCAGAAGCAGTATTTCGACCAGATCCAAGTGTTCTTCCCCTCCCAGGAAACATGTGACCGTCTTGTGCTGACTGCATTATTACAATAGGAAGTCATTAAATTCAATAACTTAATCTACATTCACCAAACACCAAGGGTTAAAGATTACAACAAAGTGTGCAATTTTAAAGATTGAATTGAAGGCTATAACACCCTTAACGCAAGTGGAAGAAAAAAAAACACAAAACCTGTGCAGATGTTTCCCTCTGTGGAATCCATGAAGACAAGTTTCTCCAGATACTTCCGGCAGAGAATCCACTGGTTAAGAAAATATATCATTTTACGACTCTTATAGTACATATAATTGTAGTTGTTAAGAAACAGACGGTGCTTAATTTATCAACAAGGAAACATTAAAAAGCAAAAAATATTACTTACCTAGATGCTGTACCTTGGCTTGAATATGTAGGGATGAAGGCTGAAGGATTCCCACCAGTGCACAAAATAAATTTAGGCCGCCTCACACAAGTTGACTGAAAACATAATATTTTAAAAGAACAACAATTAGACATCCATGCAAATTATGAATGCACAGGTTGGAAAAGATAAAAGAATAATAGTAAGTTTCCAAATTGATTGATCATCAAAAGCAGTTTACTTACAAACAACGAGGAGGCCTCAATTGTAGAATAGAAGGATGGTCCGGGAATGAGGAAATTGAATAATCCGTAAGTATCTGTATTGTAAAGACAAGACATAGAATTGTCACCAACTCCCTTGTGTAACATGGCACAAGCAAAATAGAAGAGGGGAATAATATTAGAATGGGAGAAAACTTACATGCAAAGCCAGACAAAATGCCACATAGGTGCCCCAGTAAAGAAACATTTGTCATAACAACTTGGAACACTACCAGCAAGATCCATACATACCTGAAACAGATATTTAAGTAAATATGTCAAAATATTACCAAAAAGGGCGATGTAAAATGAACAGAATTAGACATCACATAAGCATGTTACTGTAATTACCATTTAGCGGGTACGTTAAAGAGTCCAAAGACACTGCAGAGAGAAAAGTTTGTGAGTTAGTAGAACCCAATACATTTGCCAAGAATGAAAGAAAACAGGGAAAAGAATTCTAATAATGTGCAGCTGTGTATGCAATGGATGTCTTAGCACCCATTTGTATGATCAAATACATAAAAGCTTCAGAATATCTAATTATTCTAGGTTAGGGAAAATATAGCATTTGCAAAATTCTCACTCAGTGAAAAAACAAAACCATGGTATGTAATACATTTGAAATTAAACATTAGAAAAGCCAACCTTCTAGACTGGTGTCCACTTAGACTCGTCTCTATCACAATCATAGAAAACAAGATTCCCGAGAAGCCTATTGCACATTCATTCATGAGATACGGATCAGAGTGAATGGGATTATAGGCCACCAAAAGCGCAATCGTAAGATGAAACAGTGCATTGCTTATGGCCAATAGAAAGATTATGTACAACATGCGGACAGATCCCATGATTCTCTCCAACTCAGAACCCAAAGGAACCAATGCCATCATGTTGAACAATACATGAAGCACTGAACCATGAAAGATAATGGAGGTGAAAATCCTGTACACTGAAAAGGAGAACAGAAAGTGACCATGAGATGTGTCAGATTGCATGCAATAAAGGGATATTATTTTTATCTATTAACAGAACAAATCACCCAAATACTTTTTGTTGATTATTAAACATAAGCTAAATTGAGCTTTTGACTGACGAAAAAAAGAGAGATCAAAACAAGCAGCTGTTCAATTCTCTATTCGAGGCTTCAAATTGGGACAATCAGGTTACACAAAGATTGTGTTGTAGCTGGATAATAGAGGGACTAAAATACAGGTTGTAGCTTGATCATAAAAGATCATGATATAGGGCAATACTAAATCGAAGAAACTACTGGCAGGTTTCTAGGCCAGTGTGCTGGACTTATACACAAAAGAATCCAAGGGAGCAACCAAAACAGCTAAGCAGTACTAATGGTTTTAAAGTCACTTAATTAATCTTATAACTTCAAGCCTCCACATTCACGCAACAAATTATCTCCAATATTGGCGAAATAGTGACAACACCAGAATAATATAAAACATAAGGTCTATTACCAAAATCATGTGAACTTGAACATAACTTGAAATGATGTTTGACCAAAAAAAAAATTATGGACCTCTGCTTTGTGGCAAAGAAAAATTTTAGTAGCATCATCAAAATTATTGAAATCAGAACAGAAGAATAACAGGGATGTTAAGTTGTGCAATCCTCAAAAGTATCCAGAAGTGAAACATAATAGTGTGAGAATGAGGGGCAGGGAAGGGCATGTTTAACCCCAGGAGAGAGGCTGGAAAAATTGGACTTCTTTCCAATAACTAATAAATTCAAAACTGACCAATGAATGTACCAATCATGTCAGATTTCAGTTTCAAACAATTTACCTTGAAATCTTGATAGAACTGCAGAGGGCAAAAAGCATATTTCGTAAAAGGAGTCATATCCAACCAGGAGACAGATCAAGTAAATAGTTCCGCACACGCCAACCACCGCAGAAGTAAGAAAAGGAATGCTCTCCCACCATTGCCCCAACCTAGTTTGCAGTCCTGCCTATACACCCAAACATAGAATCAATATGAAATTTACTAGAACACAAAATTAATTAGATATAAAAACAAACACACAAGCCATGAATGTCCAAGTAAATACTAATTTCAACATAAATAAATAAATAAAGCAACCAATGGTCTATATAGGTTCCATGATGTTGCAGCTAAACACAACCAAGACAAGCTCAAACATGAAAGTATATATGTGCAATAAAGAACGAAGAAGAAGAAGAAGAAGCAAGAAACTCCTAACAGATCACTCATGAGAGCAGAGTACAAATGTAAATCAAATATCTGCCCATTTTTATCCAAAAAAAAAAAAGTATCAGCATATTTTTAGCAACAAAAATTGAGAAGCTCAAAGCAACTAAATTCCATTGTTATAATATTGCCAGTTTTCCAAGAAAAAAATTACCTCGTGCTGTACTTAACTAGATTCAAAAATTTCCGCATTTTCTCAGCAACCAAACAAAACATTAAGAGAAAACTATAACTCTCTGAGGAATATGCGAAGTTGAAGGTAAAAACGAATGGGAAAGAGAGCCAGATCGGAGAGTTGTGAGATTTACCTCGGAAACGATGTTTGGCCTCATTTCTTCTTGCTGCTGCTGCTGCAGTTATGTGACTTGGTTTTGAAAAAACTTTAGTTGGAATAGTCTTGGAGAGCACCAAGTCGCTTTTTGGCGTTTGCGTTGTGCGGGGATCTCGAACTCTCTATCTTTTCGAACTCGGATCGTGAAATACGGGCGGGTCGAGTCCATGAAACAAATCATGGGTTGGGTTGAGAAGGCCCGCATTTATATTGGAACCCGGGTTAAATCCAAGAAGAAGTGTTCTCTTGTCTTAATGCTAATGGAATTTCCCTAATTTTGTTTTGATAATTAAGGAATTTCTCATTTGGAACACGTTGTTTGAGTTGTATCTAAAATATCTATGTGAAGAGAGTAACTTCTTTGAATCTTTTCGAACAAGGAGTGCAAAGTTTCGAAAGTTCCCAAAATTTGCACTAAGTTAGATCTCTTCCTAACCCGAGCATAGTTCAAGGTTGTATTCTTCAACTGAAAACGATTTTCCCATGCAGAAGCACTGCACCAAAATTCACGTTTAAGGTCGTCTCTAATGCAGAAAGAATATTTTGGCTTGGCTAGAAGAAAACTACTATAGAAGATGCAAATTGGTTAGAAAAATGTAGTATTTTGTAACATAGATTTTTCATTTGATAGAATGCAGGAAATGTATGCATCCGACAGTTGCGATGAATTACATTTTACATCCAACGATTGGTGTGAGGTCATGAGCAATGTCTCATAAAGTAATGACCTTCAGATTTGATACTCGAACTATCAATTTGGTTATGAGCCCCATAACTTTTAAAACGTGCCAATTTGCCTTTAACGTCAAATTTGTCAATTTTTTCGTTAAATTTAAGGTTATTTTGTCCATTCAAATGAAACAAATTAACATGGAAGCATAGCACTTTTCTGTCCCTCCCATCTGCTTGTGTGTTGTTATTCTGTTGAGTGAGTGAGAGGAAGGAAACTCGAAGACTCTAAGCAAATAAAGAGAGAATTGATATTTGTCATGATGCAAGTACTGATCAGAGGATGTCGATTTATCTTCCAATAAAAAAGAGAAGATACATTTCAATCCTGTGAAATTTTGGGCGAGGCAAATACACATAACAAATCAAATTTGGCTTACAAAAGTTGGGTGGGGAGTTGAAGAAACTGAAAAACAACTACAGATGATAAAACAGACTGGAGTAGCAACGTATACTGATCTGCTTTAGCCTGAATTGATGCCACATGACAGATTCAGACATCATCTTTCTAGCATCCAGAATATGCCTAGCAGGCGACACAGTTTGATTCTCCAGCAGTTGAATCTGCAGACAAAAGTTCACCCATATAACCACAATAACATTCCACCACCTAGAGCTTTAGGCATTATTATAACTTGGTAAGACACAAAGAAAATGCCAGTAGAATGATTACCGCACGCTCAGAAGTCAGAACAGTTCAGAGTTCACAAAATACTTGGTCCTAATTAAGTATGAATATTATAACTGTGCTCATAGCATGTGGAGATGACATTGAGAACAACAAAATTTATCACACATAAAATGTAAGATTCCACTGCATAATATTGAGCAGGAAGAAAGAAATTTCCCCCGACCAATCTATGCTTACCAGTTTAGGGTCGCAAGAGAATAAAGAGTTCCTACTTCTCAACATCCCACCCTTCTAATCTCATTGCAGGATCATAGTTTGTGAATAGCCGAAACTCGTTTCCTAGTTTGCTAGAGTGTTGGGGCCTAAAACCACATGGATGTAATCCCATGAGTTCAGCTGCTCTCTCTTTCTGCACCGCTCCTGCAAGTCATCATATAACAGTTAGTTTCAACAAACTGAAAGGTGCTAGCAATAACACTTGTTCAATTTCTGATTCCAATAACAAAAATCTCACTGGTGAAATGTTTTAATCATGTCTTGTAACGCAGTAATTACAATGTAGCCTGTGCAGGAATGGCAATATTCTTATTATGTTTTGCCAATTATATAGGAGGGAAATGTCTACCTGTGAGGAGAAGCAGGTAAGATTTTTCTGATCGTGCAAGAAATGAAACAGTTTGAGCAACTTTCTCCAAGCACTCCCGACTCTGTAAACACCAGTTATACTATATCAGCAATTTGTTCATAACCACAACTTCACAGTCCTACCTATGAATACAGATTCGACCCCTATACGAGAGATGTAGAAAAAGCAATGCAGTCACCAAGCATGGTACAAACACAGTCACGAAAATGTATTTCGATGCTAGATCTTAATTCATACAGAGTGCATGAAGACTCAGATTCAAATTATTTTGCTACATAACACACATACCCATGAGTTATAACACTGAACCAAATGACATAAAGAAGCATAATTTTGCTCACCAGGTAAGGGGGATCAGCAACTACAATGTCAAAAGCATGCTTGAGCTCCAATGGCAAGTCTTCAGGTCGGTTGTAATCATAAAACGTGAAATCACTCCCGTACTGCTCAAACCGCTTGTCATACTCAAGCAGTTGCACAGGCACGTCAGAATCATTGTTCTGAAAATAGAAATAAATAAATAAAAATCAGTAAAAACATTAAATTTAAAAACAAACAAACATTAAATTAACCCAGATAGCGAAAAGATGAAAGGGACCTTGAGATAGGCGTAGAGTGAGGGGCAAGCGACGCAAGCAACCCTAGCGGCCGAGTCGGGGAGCGAGTTGCAGAGAGTGAGGACCTCTTGGGCTAGGGTTTCGGCGGTGTGGGGGTCGTACCAGAACTGGCTCAGTCTCCAGTCTTCGGAGATGAGAGCTGGAGCTGCCGAGTCTGCGGCTCGGCTCTCGGCGGCGGCGTCAGGTAAGGCCTGGCTTTGCTCCGCTAGGAACTCCTTGAGAGCTTCTAGGGCTTGAAGGCTTAGGGACGGTGGGTCGTCATCGTCGGCGGCGGCCACGACGTCGTCTTGGTGGTTGGAGAGTGAGTTGGGGAGGGTTTGGGCCGAGAGGTTTTGTTCCATTTTGGCAGGGTTTTCGAAAGGAGATTGGTTTATTTTTCACTTAATAAAATCCAGAATCAGATAAATAAAAAAAACGCAAAATACCAATATTACCCTCCACTAAACACTGTTAATTTTAGTAGGAGCTTTAATTACTTCGCTGCTTTTTTTTTTAGTACAAACAATTGAGAGAGGGAGATTCGAGCCTCTGTAAAAAGAGTTTGAGGCTAAAGAGCTATTTCCCACTCGCTACTTCACTACATCTCAATTGCTGGAATTGTTGATTAATTTTAAATGAGTTGGGTTTGTGTTTTTTTACTGCTCATTATTAATTTCCCTTTGTTGGGTATGAAGATGACAGCTTATTTATACACAGAAATCTTCAGGAACCTCAAAGTTGCAGTTCAAGTGTGGTTTTTAGTAGAAACAAGCATGCCAATAGTACCAGAAAATTGTTCAGGGAATTTCTGCATCTTCATGAATAGGAAAAATAAATTCTCAGGAAGGAAAAGTACAAAATAAAATTCATTCAAGTCCTCTATATATGCAGCAAACTTCATGATCAGATTAGAGAAACAAAAGCGACATCTTCATTGACAGAAAAATGATATCTTGAATACACGTCAGCTTCATCCTCACGCACATCTTTACAAGTCCCTGCAGTTGACTTGCCTTTACCTAAATTTTCAGTCTCTAATCCTAACTACTACTAGTCCCCTAGGCTTCTAAAGGGCCACTTGTTTCTTTATCTCCATTCAAATCATCCCATTCCACTTCACCTGGTTCTAGAGACTGAATCATCTTTATTAATATAATCCAACAATCTCTCCTGCAGACTTACGGGGATAACACACTTATCCCCGAGCTGTCTTATAAACTCCTCAGCTCCCTCCAGATCTGCTCTCTTTTTCATGTGTCGCAAACAGACAGCCAAAACACCCTTTTCATGGATCCACTGAAGCCCCTCAGTCGAAAGCGCTCTCCTCATCAACTCAACTGCCCTCTCAATTTGATTATCTTCAAGATACAATCTTGCCAAAGTAAACCATGACCATGTATCCGGTTTCCCACCCTTAAGTATTACCCTGTTAAGAAAGGCTTCAGCCTTGTCAAAAAGGCCCCTTCTGGCATAAGCACCAAGTAAGTGATTCAGTATACGAATATCAAAAGTTAATTTCCTGGATTCCCATTCTTCATAGATCTTCTCAGCACTTTCAACATCACCAAACTTCAAGAATGAGGTTATTATGGCTATATAACCCTTATTGTATATTTTCATGTGCTTGCTGTAAAGTTCCCAGAGTCACACAACATCATCTTCTTCCCTAGCACTGCATATTGAGTAATGAGGTGCTCATATGCTGCCCTCTGTCTTTCAGAGCTTGATATCAGTTTTTCAGACTTCTCTAGCATTTCCAAAGCCTTTTCCACATTTCCTACTTTCACATAACCATTTGCCGCAACGGAATAATTAGTCCAATTCACCTGGAACCCAGGATTGGATTCCCATTCTGCCAGAACCTTGTCAATTCCCTCATGATCAGAAGCAGCAGCATATGCACTGAGACGGATCCCATATGTGAATCTGTCACAACCGATGCCACTCTCTTCCATTTCATTCAGCAGAACGTCAAATTTATCAGTGTTTCCAGTCTTATAATACAAATTGAGCAAAACGTTATAGACCAAAGATGTCCTGGCGAACCCCAGATCCCTCATCTTCTGCATGGTGGCCTCGGCTTTTTCCACAAGTTTTACATGGGCATATAGCAGTTGAGGAGAGTACTGTAAACCTCGTGAGCTTTCAATTGTTTTGGAATGTTTTCAAAATAATTCTCAGCTTGTTCAATTCCGTGAACTTTTGAAATCAAGTCCAGCCGGATGGCAACATCAGCCTTGATAAGGCTGAAGTACCTTTTGTCAGTCAACCACATAGATAGCTGAGAATCAATAAACCAAAAACAATTTTCAGAATCTGGGGTTGCCAACATACCATACAATCTCTCTTCAGAAATCCAAATATGAAGAAGATGAAAAAGATGAAAACTTTGCTACTTGGGCTGACTTATTTTGAAGTCTATATAGCATTGCTCTCACCATTAGCAGTTTAAATCCTCCAAATTACAATGAAAGCACTCCCATTTAGCAGTTAAGCTAACAGAATTTAAGCTACTCTATAGCATAATTTGAATTTCCATCCATTCACAATTCAATTTTACCGAGTTGAACATAATATTTGATAAATTAAAGATAAAAAACCAAATAAAGACCCTAAATGAATTCCATTTCCACACTTTCTGAGCAATCAAACAGAAATTAGTACCTACCTCAAGAGCGTGCTTATATTTCTTGAATTCCCTGAGCTCCTTGATTATGGTGACGAGGTCATCTCATCTTTCTCTGCGTTTCCGCCTTCTTCGATCCATTCGTCGAGAATCGGCAAAATGGATGCATTGCGATCTCCGACTCGAGAAATCCGACCGTAGAGGTTGTTCAGGACACCATTCCAGTACTTTCTAGCGAGAGAGAGACGAGAAGATGATGCAGTGGAAATGATAACGACGTCGTATTTGGGCTTTCAATAAGCAATCCATAAAATAAATAAAATATTACATTTTGAAGAAAAAACAAATTCACTATAAAAGAAAAACCTTGAGAACCCTAGTGCCCTAAACGCAGACGCACTCTTTTTTTTTCTCCCCTTGACGCAGCCGCGCACACTCCTTCTCGTCACTTTTCCATTGAAGACTCTCTCTCTACCAAAGGTGAATTTCTTACTCTTCTGTAAATGCTTAATCTTCAATATTGTTATTTCCAATCTCTGTTTGCATTTTTATTTACTTTTATTGAGCGATTTATTCTCTGAAACTTTCAATCTCTGTTTGCGTTTTTGGCTGGATTATTTACTCAACCCAAAACTCATAAATTCAGATTACTATGTTGTTTTTAGATCTTAAAAATAAGATAAGAAAAGTGTTCATGGAATTAGGGAATTATATCAAACTTTCATGACTGTTATAAATCAAGATTTCTGCTCATTATTTGTTTAGGGAATTAGATCTGGTTGATTGCAGCTTTCCTTATGGCATCAATCAAAGTGGAGATTTATGGCTTTTGTTTGCTGTTTCGGTTTGATTTACTAGTGTGCTATGGAATTGAAGTGTGTTTTGTAGGACAATTTCTGATAGTTTTCGAGGATTCGGTTATCGGAAAATAAGATGAAATTATGATACCCCATTTAGTTCTTCGCTCTGTTTTTGTAGTTTATAACTCGTGTTCTATTTCCAATCGTAATGCTTAATAGAATAGTCTGGCCTCTTGACTTTGTTGCTTTCCAATTTACCACCATCGTGCCGGCAGAGTGCTACAAGAGCGTTCTCTTGCTAATTTTCCTTTTGTATTTGCGTGTAGAATGGACTCCACTGTGAAGCATGCTGTGGTGGTGAAAGTTATGGGTCGGACTGGATCTCGTGGGCAGGTGACTCAAGTTAGAGTCAAGTTTCTGGATGACCAGAACCGGTTCATCATGAGGAACGTCAAGGGACCAGTGAGGGAGGGGGATATCCTTACCTTGCTCGAGTCTGAGAGGGAAGCTAGGAGGTTGCGTTGATCGGAGATGGCTCTTGTTTGTTGATGCTTGAACTTCAAAGTTTTGGTTACTTGCAAGCAACTGGTGTTTATGTTGGTGAATGGCAGTTGTGTTGCCAATCTCTGTTCTTATTTTTTTAGTTTATGTGTCTTGGTATTTTCTAGCAACGTAGACTTGATTGTTCTGATGAGAGTTCTTTATGGAATCTTGCTAAACTTCTGTCGGGAAAAAGCCCTAGGTTTTGTTTGAACAAGTAACAAATATTCCTGGTTTCTGTGTCAAATCTTTGATTTCCTTCTACCCTGAGCTCTTGGGTGTTGAGTAACAAATCTGATCGGGCGACGAAGACTGTTGTCTCAATAATTTGCTGCTACTTCAAAGTTGAAATTTTTAATAAATCGTTGCGAAATCATGTAGATGCTCCTATATTCCCGACTTTCTCCGCAGGATGCTAGGAGTGAAAATCATGATATCTTTAGGCTTTAATATTTTTTGAAAGAGGAAAAACATCTTATGGTTCAAGGATATGGCGGAAGCCATGACTCAGAAGCAAGTGAAAAGCAATTATATGAACAAAGAAGAGGTCGAAATTTTAAAAAACTCGTACAAAAGCAATTCTAGAAACTTCTATTAGTATAAGGCCCTGTTTGAGATTGTTTTTTTTGGCCAAAAATCTATTTCACTTTAAAGTTAAGCAGTTTAAAAGGTGTTTGGTAAAAATAAAATATCCTGATTATTTTAAAAGTAGTGGCATTTAGACAACAACTTTTAAAAACAGGCTCTGAGTTGCTTTTCAAACCTGTTTTCAAAATAAGCATACATGAACATTTAATGAGTTTTTAATTCCCAAAATATCATCATTCATTTTAAAAAATGACACCACCTCCATTTTCACATCCAACTCCACCACTTGCAGCACCACATTCACTACCTCCACAACCACCGCCACCACCACCACCACCTCCTCCAAAACCTCCACATCCACCACCACCTCCACAACCAACACCATCACCACCACCACCATGCTGCCATCTCCACCACCATGGTTACCACCACCACCACCACCTGCACAAGTGCCATCCCTACCACGACCACTACCACAACCACCAACTCCACCTTCATCACCACCACCACCTCCACTCCATCAAAACACTACTACCACATGATTAGTACATAACATTTTTAACATCATGTCTATTTTAGTCATTATTCACAGTTACAATAATTTTATATTAAAATTTACCAAACGGTTTTGACACTGTTTTTTGTACAAATAGCACTTTAAAAAAATTGTTTACCAAACATGGAACTGCTTTACTTTACAGCTAATTATTTTTTAAACACAACATAAACAACCTTTTTTTAAAAGTGACAGCAATCCCAAACTGGGCCTAAGAAGATTTATGCGATCACTATAAACATAAACGTTCTTAAACTTAATTGTTGACAAATAAACCACATTGTTGTACAATTAATTTTAGGGCAATGTTCGAGATAAAAAAAGATGATATCTTCAACAACATACAAGTGATGATTATTGTCATCTGGTGTAGTAAGTATGGTCGTCGAAAAGCCACATGTGCTCGTCCCTCCACATGAAAATAATATACGAGCCTTACATGCTTACCATCCAGCTTGTGCATATAGTCAACAAGTAAAGCAAAAATAAGTCCTAACACCACATGATGGCTTGACTAATCCACTCATATTGTAATACACGTATTTATTCATCTATGTTATACTCTCCATAACATATGAACTTAGTGTTACACATGCCACTATATTATATCATATAAGTTCCTATAACATGCTATTAGCTAACAAAATTGCATATTGGACTCATATATTTTAATGAATGAAACATTGTTTGGTGAACGAAGTTTGATACTATATATTGCTCACAATTAATAATTCCGCTAAACATATATAAAGCTTTGATTTTGATCTTTTTACATGAAACTCATACTTTAGGAACTTAAGTATAACTCATGCGATAATCCCTCTTATTCCACCTTCATCAATACTAAGAATAGTGATGAGACTTCCGTTAGTAAGAAAATGAAGGGATGATCGTGTTGTCTATTATTGGTGAGAGATTGAAGAGACGGCAATGCACAAGGCTTAATCTAGAAATAAAAACCAGAGAGAGAGAGAGAGAGATTAATTTGAAGTTTGATGAATCTCAAACATTGTAATCTATTAAAAATAAAAAAAAACGAAAAGACCCTACTACCCTTAAAGGACCTTAAGGTAATTTTCAGGTCAGTCATGCTTATAAACATGAACTAGGGTTTTCCTGTGTTCAGCACCACTCTGTACAAGCTCTCTCGCATTCTCGTCTGAAGGTCCAACCTCCGAACAAGAGGTAAGCTTTATCATCCGTCGTTGTTACTTACAATGAATTTCCTTTTACATTTTATACTTGAATTTTCAGTGGGTATATTAATTGAACCAAGAAATTAAAAATCACAGCCAACCTCTTTTTCAATTTAACACTCTAACTTTGGATCTTCGATTGCGTTATGCAGAGCCATGTCTGTTGCAGTGGAACCAATGGCACCAACGGCACCAACGGCACCAACGGTACAAATTGAGCCTCACCTTGACGTGAAGCTGTTCAACCGCTGGAGCTTCGACGATGTTCAGGTTTGTAACCATTACTTCCAATTTTGTGCATTTCAATATCATCAATGGAATTTTATGGGGTTTTAAATGTATACATTGGTTATAGATTTGCTATTTGTTCAATATCGATTAAGTTAGCTGGAAGTAGATAAAATTTATTTTAAAAAAAGATCCCATAAATTTCTTTACCTGTGCTTTAATTTATGGGTTTTATTCTTTAATTGATTTAGTTTTAGTTTTTTTCTCATAAGATGTAATGAATCAGATGAGCTGGGGTTGAGTTTGATAAATTAATTTATCTCGAATCTAATTCTTCGCTGTATGTTTTAGTGATTCATTTGTTTTAATGTAGCTGTACTTTGAGCTCTTAAATACTGTGTCTAGATGCATGTTTCCCCCGTTGGATAGTCGGAAGAAAACATAGCGTATATGTTGCTAAATGTCGGTAATTGGGACTGGCTTTTGTTAGGTTTTAGATTTGTAATAAGTGCAACCTGTGTGTCCTTGTGTTGAATTGATTCACAGTAGGTGTAAATTAGTAGGCTAATGCTAACAGTTGATTTTCTTATTGTCTGGTGCCCTTGGCTTCATCTCTACACTGATTTTAAGTTTTTCTGTGTATTTTTTTTAAATAATTTATTTTGGTAAAGTTTTATGGACGTTTAGATAATTTTCATATGTGTTATACAAATACTCAAATCTATTTCCCTTATATATTTGAAATGATAATCATGTTATTTGTAACATATAGGTCAGTGACATTTCACTGGCGGACTACGTTGGAGTTGTCCCAGCCAAGCATGCAACTTATGTACCTCACACTGCCGGGAGGTACTCAGTCAAACGATTCAGGAAAGCCCAGTGCCCTATAGTGGAGAGGCTTACAAACTCACTCATGATGCACGGCAGGAACAATGGGAAGAAACTTATGGCTGTAAGGATCATTAGGCATGCAATGGAAATTATCCATTTGCTGACTGATCAGAATCCCATTCAAATTATTGTTGACGCTGTTGTTAATAGGTAAGTGGATGCAAATTTGTTATTATATTCCTCATAGTAATTGCATACTTGCCTTGTGCTTAGGGTCTGTAGAAGGTATTGATGTTGGAGGGGAACCTCAAGTGGTCTTTTAATAAAATTGATCCTGATTACTTTCTGATTTTGGAAGTCTTGTGGGTACCATAACCACAATGGATGGTGACCCTTATGGAAATACTGATTCTAAGTGTATGTCTTCTTTGTGACCATCAGTGGTCCACGAGAAGATGCAACTCGTATTGGATCTGCTGGAGTTGTTAGGCGTCAGGCTGTGGATATTTCACCTTTGAGACGCGTGAATCAGGCTATCTATCTCCTTACAACTGGTGCTCGTGAATCTGCTTTTAGAAACATCAAAACTATTGCAGAATGTTTGGCCGACGAACTGATTAATGCTGCAAAAGGTTCATCTAACAGGTACTGATACATCGCTTTCTTAATGTTTATTTTCGTATAATTGTGATTTTCTCCAAAATCTCATCTATCTCATTGTTTATTTCTGTTCTGTTTTGTTTAGCTTAGTCTGATTTCATTTTCTTCAACTTGATACTTTTCTGACAATTGGTTGGTCTGTTTGTGCTCAGTTACGCTATAAAGAAGAAGGATGAGATTGAAAGAGTTGCCAAGGCCAACCGTTAAGGGGCTGCCGAAACCTACGAGTATCTTGTCATTTGCTGTTCAAAGGAAGCTCCAAATGATCTCACTGTGCGAGCTCCTATTTTTCAAGATTTTTAGCTAGTTCCGTTTTGTTTCATGAAAAATGGCCGATGCTTGTTTTTCTCATATTTTTTGTTTAATTTCTAGGATGTGAAAAAATATGAATGGAAGAACAGGAGTTACAAATATTTCTAAAATTTGTGTTGTTCCTTTTGCTCTCCTCTAATTGACATTTGACCTTCTGAAAGTGCACACAATTTTCCTTGCACAATGTGAAACTCTCAAGTATCACGATCATATTCACGGTTAAGGAAACCCATATCATCTCAAGTGAACTGACTAATGGGGTGTTAGTTGGATTGACCAATGTCTTTGGTGTGCTCTTAAGTGGTTTTGCATTTAAACCCCTATGTGTGTGAGTTTTCCCCACTCCCCCTTCCTAAGTTTTGCAACCGAAAAAAAGAGAGCAATTGAGCAACATATTGACCAAATCCATCTAGGAATATTCGAGAAAGAAAAAACTTATGTCAATGTGACACTAGCCATGGCCTTCAAAGGGGTTCAAAAGGGTGGGCATCAATCGGCCGAATTAATGAAACTGACCGATCTAAACCGTAATTATCGATTTGGTTTGATTTTGATTAAGAAAAAGTCAAATGGTTTGATTTTGATCTAAACCGAATTGAAAAAATTGACCGATCTAAACCTAGTTGCATTAGTTTATACTTTATTGATATTAATTAGTTTCAACATATCCAAAGCGGATATTGAAGAGAGATAAATTTCACAATAAATCAATATGAGATTTCAAATTTTTCTGCTTATTTTTGTGTGGGAATGTTTGCTAATCTAACTCGTTCGCTTGAGTGAAACTTGTTGGAGGAACAACAATCAATGTTATTATAATAATTTAATTAAACAACAAATAGAATTATGAAATTAAATATGGCAGTAGATTAAAAATCGACTGTTCTTGCAGATAGAGAGGCTTGCACAATTACAATGTCCTTGAAATAGAATTTCACCCCTACTTAGTGCTTGTAGTTCTACAGGCGTTTGCTCCAGCATGATACAACTATCTAAATCAAAATCCTAGCACTAGGGCTTTGATTTATGGCTAAATTTTTGTGTTTATCTCTAAGGCTCAAGAATTATGATATGAATGTTCTCTGAGAATTTGATGTAATTGTACATATGCAAGGCTTGTGTTTAAATAGAGTGGTTGATACCTTTTCCAATAGGCATTGGATAAGGACAAACTCAATCAAACAAAAACATTATATGATATTTGAATTTTAAAAATAATTCAAATAAATAATTAGTTAATTACCTAATCGGGTTTAATTTAAATATAGAATTAATTAATTAACTATTGACCTAACTAATTAGGCATTTAACCACATGTCATACCCACAAGTTACTCAATTGGGCCACTTGCATAGCCAATACAAACTATTTTATTTCCAAGAGTAAGTCTTATAAAGACCTCCAAGGAACTCTAGTGTTCCAAGTTCCAATGTGGGAACTCAAACATATTTGCAATGCCTTGCAAAACCAACAAAACTAAATTATGTTACTGCACACATTATTTGTCATAAGGAATTGCATGCTTAGTTGGAGTGTTCATGATAATTGCATCACTTTTCAACAACACTTTACATGAAGAATACTACAACATCTCTTACTACTATACCCATAAATATTTGTTTGAAATTGTTGTTCTGCTTGGCATAGAGATTGCAAAATTACCATCTTGCATTTTTGTTACAACAAGTAAAAACTAATTTTTGCCACTCACATTCTTTCATAGTTAGTAAAATACGGAACGAGAAAAGACGAATAAAATATTCAGCAAAATAAAAAATAAAAGGACCCCACTAGAAAACAAGTATAGCCAAAAGGCTATACTACGTTTTTAATAATAAAAAACTGTCGTAAGGCCGAGCGGCTAGTGTTTTTAAAAAAATATATAAAAAGAGCCGAGTAAGGCCGGTCGGCTATACTGTTTTTCTTTAAAAAAAAACCCGAGTATAGCCTCGCGGCGTTACTATGTTGAAAGTCGAGTATAGCGCGGTTGTACTATTTATAGAAAAAGAGAGGAACCTGCCTAGCGGTTAGGCGTCCACGTGTCGACACAGTATCGCCGCACGACTATACTATTGTTTAAAAAAACTTACCGTAGTAAAGCCGGCCGGCTATACGATTTTTTAAAATAAAAAAACCCGAGTATAGCCTCGCGGCGTTACTATGTTGAAAAATACCCGATAGCATAGCCGCATGGCTACACTATTTAGTACCAAAAAAAAAAAAGGGGGCTCACGCTGCGCTTCTATGATCATATTTGAAAAAAATGAAATAAAAGTAAAAAACAGAGGATATGATTTTTTAACAAAACAAAAATAAAAACAAAATGAGGAAGGGTAAAATAGTAAACGTAACCTAAAACCCAAACCCTAGCTGATTAAAGACTTTTTCCTCTCCCCTGCGCCGTTCTCTTGTCTTGAGCGTTTCAGAACCCACTCCAGGCGCCATTTGCTCTGTCTTCTCCAAGCTTCTGAAACTCCAACCTCCAGGTCTGTGGTTACCTCTCTCATCCATCTCTGCTACTTCCTCGGGTAGATAAGATTGTGCTAGGGTTTTGGTGTGGGTTTATTGTTTTGTATGGAAGAGAGCCATACAGTTTTTATTTTGTTTTTTTTTTTGTTGGGGGGTTGGCTGGTTTTTTTTTTTTTTTTTTTTTTTTTTTTTTTTTTTTTTTTTTTAATGCTTTCTTTATTTTGCTGCACTTGCTAGATAAAGCTAAAAGTATTAAAAGAAACAAGAATTCTGCTTGAAATTTTTTGTTGGGTTTGTGAATTGAGCTACGAAACTAAGAATCGCAAAATCTTGAGGTTTCCCTTTTGCTTCTCCCTTTTTTAATATTAATATATATGTTTTTTTATAAAAAGCTTGATTCAATGTTTACCCTAATCTCATTTTTTAATTATACATTTACTCCATCCACTTTGATATGGAATTCTCGTAATTGAAAAATTAATTTGCAGCATTGATTCTAGTCCCTGCTGTTGTTAACAAATGTTAACAGGTTTTGTTGCTTTAATTGTGTTTATACAGAACCATGGCTGCTCCTGCCGTAGATGCTCCTATCCCAGCTGCTCCTGTCGTAGCTGCTTCTGTTGTGGAACCAACGGAGCCTCACTTTGACGTGAAGCTGTTCAACCGCTGGAGCTTTGATGATGTTCAGGTATCTGGATTTTGTTTTGCTTTACTTGATTTAATTATACTTTTGATATCTGTTATGAATTAGACGAACTAAGGTTGGGTTTGGTAAACATACGTTTAGCTGGTTGGTTAGCAGCCAAGGATAGGCGTCCTTGCATTTCCTTGTTGGGTTGTAAGTATCATAATGTGTATGTTGCTCAACCTCAAGATGTGTAATTGGGACTTGCTTTTGTAATTTAGACATCTCTGTGGCCTCTTTGTGTGGACATCTTGTGTTTCTTAGATTCACTGTAGGTGTAACTTAGTAGGCTAAAGTTTATTGTTATTATTATTGTTTATTGCACTTGTTTTGGTCACATGTATTTGGTGCCCTCCCTGAATATGCTGATTTTATTCACGCCTTTTTTTTATAATTTATATCGATAAAATGAAAGTTTATGTCTGCTTCAGTTAAATTCATATGTGGGTCAAATCGTTTCCTGTCTATTAAGTATATTGATTAATTGGTATTTATGTGTCAAATTGTTCTTAGTATTTTTAGATGCTGACTAAATCTTTTATTATCAATTATTTGGTAATATTATCGTTTCACATTTTCAATCATATAGATTAGTTTGTTGTATTAATTTGTTCATCACATCTACTGATGGTAATATGTAATTTGCAATGTATAGGTCAGTGACATTTCATTGGCAGACTACGTTGGAGTGGTACCTGCCAAGCATGCAACCTATGTACCTCACACTGCTGGGAGATACTCAGTCAAACGATTCAGGAAGGCTCAGTGCCCTATTGTGGAGAGGCTTACTAACTCACTCATGATGCACGGCAGAAACAATGGAAAGAAACTCATGGCTGTAAGGATTATTAGGCATGCTATGGAAATTATCCATTTGCTGACTGATCAGAACCCCATTCAAGTTATTGTTGATGCTGTTGTTAATAGGTAAGTGGATGCAGATTTGTTATTATGTTTATCATAGTAATTGCATACTTGCCTTGTGGTTAGTCCTTTTTTTTTTATATTGGAGGGGAAGCTCAAGTGGCCTTTAATATAATTTCTCCCGATTATATGTTGATTTTTTATATCTCCTTAAATTGATCAAACATTTTTTCTTTTCTTTTGTATGTCTGCTTTGTGCTGATCAGTGGTCCACGTGAAGACGCAACTCGTATTGGATCTGCTGGAGTTGTTAGGCGTCAGGCTGTGGATATCTCACCTTTGAGACGTGTGAATCAAGCTATCTATCTCCTCACAACTGGTGCTCGTGAGTCTGCTTTTAGAAATATCAAAACTATTGCAGAATGTTTGGCTGATGAACTTATTAATGCTGCCAAAGGTTCCTCTAACAGGTACTGATTGATGGCTTGATTTCTAAGCGCTTATTTTCTTACTACTTATTATTCTCGGCCAAAGCTCTTTTATCCCGGAGTTTATTTCCGTTTTTGTTATGTAGTCGGATTTAATTTCCTTCCCTTGATTCTTTGTTTCTTTTGTGTGCAGTTATGCGATCAAGAAGAAGGATGAGATTGAAAGAGTTGCCAAGGCCAACCGTTAAGGGGATGCAGAAAACTATGTTGGCAACAAGGAGAATTTTGTCTGCGTTTGTTTGTTTACTCATTATTTAGTGATTGTCGGATTTACCCTTTGAATATGAGAGTTGTCTCTGCCCTTTTATGTTGATGATCCTCTGGTTTTATGTGGTTGGATGTTGTGGTTCACTCGAATTTTATTTAGATTAATGTTACTTTGACATTCATGCGTTTGCTTTTTAGAGTTATTTTACCTTTATGGTTTCCTCTAAGGTGACCCTGAAGATTTCCTTAATTGTCCGCAAATAATAAAATGGATCCTAAGCAGTGACCCTTTTTCTTTTGGAATTCCTACCATGTTAATAGTGCTGTTGCCTCTTATCTTATGGAAGCTACCATGGCACAATTGTCTTACCACCACACCATCTTTCGGAGGGTCGTCGTAATGTGAAGGGTGTCGAAGGGAGGGAGGAGGGTGTGATTTTTCTATTTCCTCTCTTGTTAAAAAGGCACTACAAAATGAGAGGGATGCTGCTTCAATTTTGAACTATTGAGCAAAATGGTTGGGGTGTGAACTGTCTTTGCAATATAGAAGACATCAAAACTCTCTATCATTTCCTTGAGTGACCTACAATTTACCAATGTTGCTCTATAAAAAATAAAAAACTAGTTTGTAGTGTAGCGATACTTATGTTCTAATGTTGGAAAAAGTTTACAATTTCAAATCTGCCATTTATTAGGAAAAAAAAATGTGAGCAATTTGGCACAGTTGTAGTTCCTTTAAACATTGTATAAATTAATTAGTATGAAACTTATCAGCAACTTGGGGATGTAGCTCACATGGTAGAGCGCTCGCTTTGCATGCGAGAGGTACGGGGTTCGATACCCCGCATCTCCATTTTTCGTTTAACTTCCTTTTTTTTGGGTCCGTACTTTCCTTTTTCTTTTTGGAGTATCTACGACATGTCGTTTTACCTCCGTCTTTTCGTGTGTCTGTGTTTCGAAGTGCTATCCTCTCTACTTTCTCGGAGGCAGACTCTTGTTTCTCGCCCTCTGTCTGTGTTTAGCATGGAGCTCTCATTTGCTCCCTCATCTTCTCCACGGTTTCCAGCTCTAACCCCTCATTGCAAGACCTCCTCTTCTTTTCCTTCAACTTTCGTTAAGCCAACTTCCAAACCCCCCTTTGCTTCTCTCTCAAAATGCACACAAAACTTGTACTCAATTGGGCTCTACAGAAGCTCAAAGTCCTTACCCAACTGTCAGAAGAGGAGAAATTCCATCTGGGTATGCTGCATTTCTTCCTCAATGATATAAATTACATTCAACTTTTAGTTGGTCCAATTGGGTTCTGCTCTAAGCACTGTTCATTAGGAAATGCCACTATGAAACTGGTTGGTTTGATTTATTTTTTTTTTTTTTTTTTTTTTTTTTTTCGGTATGTTTTGATTTTGCTCCAATTAGTGAATTTGGTGGTCTGTGTAATTTTTTCCTTTATCTGTTATTGTTAGCTTGTGGAACTGGAAGTTTCTACTTGATTATTATTCTGAAGTGATGCTGCAATTATGACATTATGTCAAGGTTTGAAGGACTAATATAGGGTAAGCGGTTGATAGTAGGCAATCCTACTATTGAACATGTCAAAGCGGCAAAAAAACTAGTTAGAAGCTTGATATAGTTGTACCTATTTGCTTTACTGTGGAACATACAAATAGAAAAGAAGAAAAAAAAGAAGAAAAAAAGGAAATTTGGTGTCTGTTTATAGACCTGTCCCTTGTTGCTGATTTTGATTTTGATTTTACATGTGTTAGTACTTGATTCGGTTCCATATACATGGTTGCATATAGATTTTGGAGACTGTAGTCTATGAGACTCAAGCCCTTTCTTTTTATGGTATTAAAGTGAAAGTGAATGCTGCCAGGCCTGCAGTAAAGTTGAAGCTGCTGGATCTGATCCAGTATTGACCAGAATTTCAGATTTTAAAGATGCTTGTTGGAGATTCCTGAGGCCCCATACCATACGTGGAACAGTTCTGGGTTCTACGTAAGTAATTAGCACACAGAACACTAATTTTTATTAGTAAACTGGTTTCATTTCCAACAGACCAGGTGTAGTTGACCAAATTTCTTTGTTGTTTTGTCCACAGTGCTTTGGTGACTAGAGCGTTGATTGAGAACTCCAATTTGATAAAGTGGTCTCTGCTGTTTAAGGCATTCTCTGGTCTTTTTGCTCTACTATGTGGGAATGGTTACATAGTTGGCATCAACCAGATTTACGATATCAAAATTGACAAGTACGATGGACGTATATTTTTATGTATTTCTGTTTCTTAAGCATGCTATTAGACAAGGATTTGCGCAACAGTCTTAAACTCAAAACATTGGTTTCCAACAACCACAATAGGGTTTGTACACATTTTTTGTTGTTTAAGATCCATCATAAGTTGGCCCTTGTCAGAATGTAATTGATGCCTTAACATAGTTGATGAATATCAATCATCTGATCTAGAGACTCTTGATAGAACCTGTTCCTTAGTCATTGGTAAAAGGAAAAATATAGAACCAGACGATCTTGACCTTTGGTAAATCATCTTTTCTGTTTTTTCTTTGTTTCTGTTGTGTGACAGACTGTCCGTGGACATTATTGCATATTAGTTTCTTTGAACTTATTCTGTATCTCTCTGTTGTGTTTGCAGGGTAAACAAACCTTATTTACCTATTGCTGCAGGGGACCTTTCAGTTCAATCAGCATGGCTTCTGGTGGTATTTTTTGTAGTGACTGGCCTGTTGATTGTCGGAATGAACTTTGGGCCATTCATTACTTCTCTATATAGTCTTGGTCTTTTCCTTGGTACCATATATTCTGTTCCTCCGTTTAGAATGAAGAGATTTCCTGTTGCAGCATTTCTTATAATTGCTACGGTATCACTTTTTTCTCCTGTTATCTAATTCTCACAATAGAAGTATGTGCTCATTTTTTGTAATATTTTTTTTCTTCTCCATTATAAAGTCAGTAACTACTCAAATTGCTTGATATTTTTTATACATGGGATTTGAAATTCATGCACCCACCTTAAAATGTCCAAATAAAAAGTAAAGTAGATAATAGTTAATACATTTATAATCATCACAATCTAAGCAAGTTCTGGTAAAAAAAGCCTGAAAGTCATAGAGAAATAAAGTTAAACATTCACAAATTATACCCATGAAAAAAAGAGAGTAGAAAAGTGTTGGCGGAAGCAGACCTGTGAGTCACGGGAAAGCGAGTAGTTTATTTTTGAAGCAATGTGAAACAAAAAACAAAAAATTCCAAATATGAATATTACCCTCAAAACAGCAGTTAGACATTATTATGGCTGAAGCACCAAATGCTATTGTAGCATAACACTCTTTATAGTTGAATTGCTGCAATAGTATAGTTCTACTGATCTAATATAGTTGTCTAAAAATTTCTGTGCATGAATTCAAACAACTTTTGAGCAAGGAGCCTGGAAAGTAAATATATTATTAAGAGGATAGGATCTGTTCAATGACTATTATGTTGATTCACAAATATATTTTGAAAATTATTTTGCCTTATTTTTCTCCAATGGTAGTTATGTCACAAGAGATTAACAAAATAACTACTGCAGGTACGGGGTTTCCTTCTTAATTTTGGTGTATATTATGCCACTAGAGCTGCCCTTGGGCTTCAATTTGAGTGGAGGTGTGTTACCATTTGTCGTATTTTAACTGGTATGACTATACAATTGGATGGACTAATACAGGATTGATAAGGAACTGCTGTAGTTTACACACCAATATGGATTTTGAAAGTTAACAAAAAGGGACCTTTTCTAAATCCAACACATGAGCATTACTAATTTTCAATTTTCAATTTTATTATGCAAACAAATGTGTATTGATTGATCTAATTGTCCAACTTTCTCTTGTGAATGTCACTCTATCCTTCTGATATTATAGCTGTGTAATGTTCATAATTTAAATTTTTGAAGAGACTGATGCTTAAATTCAAATTCTACCTGCAGCTCGCCCGTGGCTTTTATCACTACCTTTGTAACATTATTTGCTTTGGTTATTGCCATAACAAAAGATCTTCCTGATGTAGAGGGAGACCGCAAGTAAGTTGCAGGGCCTAGTTACTTTCTGGCAGCTGATTTCTCATTTGATTCTTACCCCATATAATACTTTCTGAGTCGTTAAAAACAATCCCAAAGTTTGGTTATTAATTTTAATGTCACCCTTTTTTCTTTTTGTTTTGGTTAATTTACACATGAATCAGTGTACATTAAATTTCCGCACCCTCTACCCCATACTTGCATAGAGAGAGTGGGTATCATTTTGCCATGTAATTAGCATATTTGATGTCACTCACTGTAATTGTTAATGTCTTATATTATGCTTAACCAATATTGGTACTCTTTTTTCTACATTTTCAAATCAGAATGCAGCATTGTTTTTGTTTAAAGATTAATATTCCAGTTGCCCACCAATATTTATTTCAAATATATGCTTACAGGTTTCAGATATCAACATTTGCAACAAAACTTGGAGTTAGAAAGATTGCGTTCCTGGGTTCTGGGCTTTTGCTGCTAAACTATGTTGGTTCTATATTCGCAGCTAGTTTCATGCCTCAGGTAGGCATGTATTCCTTTGAACTTTGAAGTGTATCTCTAGATGCTTGCATGGTTCATGCATTTAGACAAAAGCTAATGGGTGTGAAATTCTTCGTGTTTTCCTTTGACTCAAAAATTAAAGCCCTTATGTTGCTTGTGTACAGGCATTCAGGCGTAGCTTAATGATACCGACCCATACAATTTTGGCACTGATTTTAATTTTTCAGGTTTGTATCTTGCTGTTCTGAACTCTTTACCACTATATCCATTCTAAACGGCTTCTTTTTCTTTTTTTTGTTTGTTCCTTGTTTTTATGAATGTGTTACATCCCCCCTCGCTTTTCTCTCAATGCTCCAAGAGGACCCTAGCATCATTTCATTTATGCTTATGATATCAGACAAATTTACTGTCGAAAATGGCATCCCACCTCTCTGTAGTTTCTTCTCACTGAATGATAGTTTCAGTTAGGCATTTATGATACTGATTCTTTTCAATATTAGGACTTCTGGTATATTTTGTGTGTGTGTGTGTGGTGAGGACTTGGGAGAATAAAGTGACAATGGCAACTTGTGCTGTTTCGAGCTTTCTAATCCGCATTTAATTGGATGTGAATGGTTTATGTTAGAGCTCTTTCGCACACACAAACAAACAACACTTAATGAAAAATTGTATTTTATTGTTAAACTCTTATGTAAATTTTGTTCTCATGTACTTTCAGACTTGGGTGCTCGAGCAAGCAAATTACACCAAGGTATAAAATTCCATTTTTTGTAAATAGCATTTTACTGGTCAAGCAGTACAGTTTGGAATAGGATAATTTGGCACAACTATTTCGAATGATCTATTCAGATTCCAATAAAATGACAGAGAGTATTTGATTCATCATCTGATGATAAGTTTGAATGCGTTCTGCAGGAAGCAATTGCCGCCTACTACAGATTTATTGGAATCTCTTCTATGCTGAGTATATCATTTTTCCTTTCATCTAGCGACTCCCTCAGCATTTGCTGAATCTTTGATGAGAGAGAGAGAGTTTGTATCTTGTCAGCTTGTAAATATTGGCATAAGTAACTAGCATATGTTTTATGAATCCATATGTAACAAGTTTTTCCTGCATCAAATTCTTATCCTATGTAAGGAACGTGGTAGATATGTAATATGATACTGGCCGATTCTTTTAAAGCCTGACCTTGATATATATATAGTTGGACATATGAAGTTTTTCTATGTTAAGTCCTTATAAGAAAAGTGCACACATCATTTCTACGGTTGCCTGTAATATATTTCAACGATCGAAATCGTCTATATTTAGGTCATCTTTCAAGGAGAATAAGGACATCTCTACTTTAGAAAGCCTCCATTTTAACATGACATCGTACACAAATTGTTAGTCAATGTAACAAAACGATCATTATAATTTTGAAAAGTCATGTGAGATTTTATCATAGCTTCATATATGTATCATGCACTCAGATGCTGACTGGTTGACCAATGTACAAGTTTTCTCTTTCAATTTTCTCACACGCCAAACACCTAATTTACCTAAACCAGTAATCTCCGAAGTCCAAAATCTAATCCATGCCTTGAAACTTGCCAAAAGTCCTTTTTCTTCTTCTCTTCATCAACTACTATAAATAAAATAGGAGCGAGTGAATTGACTGTTTAGTTGTGAGTGTGTCGGTGCATTACAAAAACAAAACAAACGCGTTGGACTTGGACCAAAAAAATACATGTCGGGCTCTGTAATTAGAATAAGTCAGAATTAAAAGCACTTTTGCGGAAAGCTACTTGTTCTCCAGCTGCCCATAGAATCTAATCCAAACAAATCCTACTCTGACAGGCCGTACTGCGACAGTACATGAGCTGTACTCGTTCTTGAATCACAATGAAGTCTACTTCTTGTCAGAACTGGTTCGTCCAAATATTACATCACTCAAAAATTACTAGACCTGATAAAATCATATACGATGTAATTCTCGTCCGAATTTTATCGTGTTGAGTTCACAAGTGTTAATACGATAATGATATGTTTTTTTTGTTCAATGAGAGGACAATGTTCATTCGCGGAACATATTTAACACGCTATAGTTATGAAATGTTGTTTAAAAAAAAATCATTTATGCAAATAAATTCATCTTTTGAATTTGCATATTCAAACATAAGAAAATTATTTATTTAATTTGCTCATAGGTAATACAACATGCTCATATATAAATTAATGATAGAATGTAAGTGTTAAAATTCTTTTGCACAATATGAACATGACATTTGAGCACGTAGCTGCAATAAGCCTAATTTGAGAAGAAGAAGAAGAAGAAGAAAAAGACAAAAAAGTGGTACGGCAAAAGAGAAGGGAAAATAATAATAATAGTTTAAGGACGGCACTTACAATTATGCCGTGGCGGTGACCCACTTGCATTTAAGAAGGTGGTGGGCAAAAGGGTAATATTTATTTCTTGAAACTTAATTTTTGGGTGGAAAGTTAATTCCACAGGGCCAGGCAGGCAGTGTGAGGAATGTAGCAAATTTAACATGTTGGATCAACCTCAACCACAACCAAATGTTGAATCAAATAATGGTCTATATTAAGCTGCATCTTATAGGGGTGAATGTGGATTTTTCTTCTTTTTCAAATGTGGATTAGATTAGTTGGCTAAGGCTGTGTATTCAGCCCGTTACATCCGAGTTCAAACTCTCCTTTACATACATTAGAATAATTTAACTACCGCTCTTGTAAAAAAAAATATCTTTTCGTCATTTGCTAATTTAATCAGCATAATTAGTTAATGTAATTAAAATCATGTATGAATGTGTGGTCTTTTTTTATATATGACATTTTCGACTATTTGACAACAGAATATTTTTTCATAAAAAGGGGAAACCCTATACTTTTCATAAGTTTTTTCGCATGATGCAAATAACACTCATTTAAGAGAATATTGGGTAGGAGAAATGTATTGTTTTCTAACCAAAGAAGTTTCCATGCATCTGTGGCCATACAATACTAAATAGGGTTATTAGAAACCATCCCATTCCCACCCAAATTTTGTGAGAAGAGAAAAAGAAAAGATTCCTTGACCAAAAAAAAAAAAAAAAGAGAAAAAGATTGGAAAAGGGTTTGGATGACTAATGTCAAGTTAAAACTTAAAAAGGGGATAAACAACATGAATAAGATAGATGAAGAAAAAAAAAAACCAAAAAATCAAAAAAAAAAAAAAAAAAAAAAAAAAAAATTTGGTTGGAACTTTCTCTTGTGGTCAATAACATGTGTGGGGAGACTATGATCCAACTGTTGCTCTTTTCTTCCCCCCTCTTCTCTCTATATAGAAATTCTCTCTCTAACTTCTATATATAAATGTTGCAAGAATAGCATTTAGCCAACGTAGGTGCTGTGTAAGCCAGAGACAGAAAAAAAAGTAAAGCTCTCTGTGGAAGGAGAGAAGCAAGCCCATGAAAGCCACTCTGTAACCTTTGAAACCTCTACAAAATAAAACCCCTTCAACTTCCCACATTCTCCGCTCTCTCTCCCGTCATTCGTCCATTTCTTTACTTCCTCTCCATCTTTCTCTCTCTACCCTTCTTTGGTTCTCTCTTTCCTCAGCCTTGTCTTAAACCAGTCTCCATCTCTGCTTCCATTCTGTCTCTGATTAAGGTAAGACTCATTGTGCACCCTTCATTCATAAATGTATCAAAAGGCTTTCTTGTGAGTTATTCACTTAATTTGTTGGTTGAATGTTGCAATGGGAGTGGCATAATGGTCCCACTGGGAAATGATTGGTGATGTGTGTGTGTGTTAGTATTTGCATTTAATGCATTTGAGACTTTTAATATTTTCCAATTTAAATGTTGCAAAATTTTTTATCACCCAATTTAGAGTGTTGGATATAAAACCCTCCTCTGCAATTTGCATGGGATTGTAAAATGGCTTTTGAGGAACCATGCTTTAGATTCTAGTAGAAAGGCTGGAAAGAGGAGGAAATGGATGTGTGCCTATATATTCAATGGTAGACCTCCATTCATGAATGTTGAAACAATGTTTGTTGGTACCAAGTTTGATTATATTGCCTTTCATGGATATCAAGTTTGGTGAACTTTTTTTTGTTTAATTCTGTACATTCTGTTCAGTTTTTTATAGGTAAAGAGACCCGATAGATCTCGATCATCTCGTCGATTCAGATCTTGGTTATTTGTAGTATAATCTTGCTGATATCCCTTGTTGGCCAATGGGGTTTCCAGTGTCCTGCCCACTTTCTGATTTTGATGATTTGGATAGTCATTGTGGAGCTGTTCTTGTAAGTCCAGTTAGTCTTAGGAAAGAAGAAGAGAGGAAGCCCTTGCGGTCATTAAGCTCCAATAGCCCTGATTCAGAACCAACCACCACAAATGGTTCAGGAAAGATGAATATTGAAGGATCGCTTAGCTTTGAAGGGAAGGAGTTAAACACCAATCCCTTAACAAAGACATGTTCGGCAGATATGGAAAACAATTCGTCTACCAGAGCAGAAAGCGATGCTGGAGACCCGTTGCAGACATCTGAAAACCAGTCCCAGGAGCCAGGAAAACACAGATACCAGGCTGCATTGAAGTTGCAGAAAGTGTATAAAAGTTTCCGCACGAGAAGACAGCTAGCAGATTGTGCAATTCTTGTTGAGCAAAGATGGTATGCTTTCATGTCTTCTTTCAATTTGAAGAGCTATGGCATCAATTTTTCGGTGTCACACATGAAAAGGAAATGGAAAAGTTTTATGCCTACTAGTCCTGTCCACATATCCCCTATTTGTATCCTTCTGAAGTTAGATTTATATTTTGGTGAACTCAATTTGTAGGTGGAAGGCACTAGATTTTGCTGAGCTCAAACGGAGCTCAATATCATTTTTTGACATTCAGAAACCCGAGACAGCTGTTTCTCGCTGGTCTAGGGCAAGAACCAGAGCTGCCAAGGTTAGTTAGTATTACACTACGTGATGTGCACTTCTATACTGCTATATTATGGCTCTAACTGCTGCTGCATCATCTCTTTTGAAGGTGGGAAAAGGTTTGTCTAAGGATAAAAAGGCCCGTAAACTTGCTTTGCAGCATTGGCTTGAGGCAGTAAGTTTTATACCTTATAGTGCAATATACCTTAGAATCAATGTACACAATTTTCTTTATGATTTCTTACTCTTGTTCCTTCCTATTAACAGATTGATCCTCGACATCGCTATGGCCATAATCTTCACTTTTATTATGCGAAATGGCTCCATTGTGAGAGTACACAGCCCTTCTTCTATTGGTAAGTTTAATCTGGGACATCATGCAAAGCAATTAGAAATGCTCCTTGATCACAGCCAAGAATGTTGTAGCACCTATTTAATAATCATTTTTTTTCTCTTAAAAATGCAGGCTTGACATAGGAGATGGAAGAGAAGTCAACCATGAAGTATGTCCTCGGCCAAAGCTTCAAACACAATGCATCAAGTATCTTGGCCCAGTGAGTCTCATCTTCCATTATGATTTCTCATTTTTTTATGTTTTCGTGAAGCAGTTTGAATATCTTCTCACCATGGCATTTCAATCTGAATATGTCCCATAAACCTATTCACCATGGTATTTCAATCTTCTACCCATAAACCTTAAGAATGAAACAAATTCCCAAGACATTTTAGATCAAACAAAACCGGTGTACCTACCGATAACTGTTGCTTCATTTCTGCAGATAGAAAGAGAGGCTTATGAAGTTGTAATGAAAGATGGGAAGTTCATTTACAAGCAGACTGGAAATCTTCTTGATACAACAGAAGTCAGAGATGCTAAGTGGATATTTGTCCTTAGCACATCCAAGACCTTGTATATTGGACAGAAGAGCAAAGGTACGTTTCAACATTCAAGCTTCTTGGCAGGTGGAGCCACACTCTCTGCTGGAAGATTAGTGGTGGAACAGGGAATTCTTAAGGTAGGAAAGAGTAATCTATCAACGATTTTCGTTTACCTAGTAGATTGAATCCTGTATCTATCTTTGAGATTAGGCTTTAATATAATAGTTACTAACACTCTTTTTTTCTTTTTTGGTTTAACAGTCAGTTTGGCCTCATAGTGGCCATTATCTCCCAACAGAGGAAAATTTTCAGGAATTCATGTTGTTCCTTATTGATCACAACGTAGATCTCACAAATGTTAAGGTACGTCGGGCAAAATTCGATTATTTTAACTCAAGAAGTTACCATCTTCTACTGTCTCAGCAGATGATGTTTTGTGTAGCAGTATATGACATGATAGGATACTATTAACTGGACAGAGCTGATCGAAATCTATCTTTACCACGTATCGGGGTTTTTCCATAAATTAATGCTCTGAGATGAGATCATCAGACACAAATGCAACCTTGTAGCTAGCAAAACTCTTCCCTATACTATATGAAACATAATGTTCCCATGATTCATAGCAGATACTGTTTCCATTAAAGAAATAGTAATGTACAATTGACCTAGTAATAATGTACCTTTCTTTCAATTTTCAGAGAAGTGCAGCTGATGATGAAGAAGGAGGCCTCAGCAAAAAGAGCAGCAACATTGGAATTCGAAACAGTCCCAAAAAACCAAATCCATCTAAAGATACTGGAACAACAAATGCTGAAGGCTCAGGGCAAGATAGCACTGATCCAAGCAATGAGGACTCTAACCCTGTAGAAAATGCTAATCCTATTCTGTCAAGATTGCCTGAAAGATTCTGCTCAAAGATAGCCAAACTTGAAATACCACAAAGAAATGATGCGTTTGACATTCTCAAGGAGGGAATACCAATAACTTGTCGCGAATATTTTCCAGATTCTGCTTCCGACGATGGTTATGAGACGGCTGAAGAATCGGTCTTAACAGAGGAAGATTTCATGATCCCTAAACTAAACTTGTTTGAAGACGATGAATTTGAAGAAGACGAAAAGCCAGTGCCAAAAGAGAAAATCATGCAAAGGATTGATTCACATAAAGGAATGAAGTCATATCAGTTGGCTCAGCAATTAACCAGTAGGTGGACAACAGGAGCTGGACCGCGGATTGGTTGCATGAGGGACTATCCTTCGGAGCTTCAGTTCCGAGTTTTAGAGCAAGCCAACTTGTCTCCAAGAAGAACTGGAAGAAGTCCCCGGCCCTTGCTTCCATCTCCTTTAAGTACAGAGAGAATTGCAGGGAAAAGTCCCCTTGGCCCTCGGAAGAGCAAGAGACACAACACCATAGGCTGACTGCTACATATTAGATCAAGGGATCATCTGTAGCAATTATTTCATGTTTTGATAGAGAAGATGATATAGGAATTGTTTTTGCATTCTTTTAGAACTTTTTTTGTAGAGTTTGGACTCAACAGCTCTTCAGAAAGAGATCTTTTACAGCGCTTAAGTGCTTTTTCTTACGCTGGCCTGACCCATTGATTTAGATTCACGGGTTCCATACCGAAAGAAACGTAGTCATGTCACAGGCAAAGAATATGCAGAAGCTTGTTAACATGGCTTTGCAGATGCAGACTTACAGAACCCTACATGTTTTTTCTTCTTTATTTACTAACTTGCTTCTTACAAATAAAACTAGAAATAGTTTTTGGAGGACAGCAAGTTATATATTTCTCATATCCTTGTTTCTGCAAATCAGCCTCCTGGATCTTGCTTCCCTCCAAGCAAAGAATTAAACTGAAGATTTCTTCTTAAAATCGATACATGCATTCAGCATTCTCTTTTTTTGCCTTTTGTTTCTTCGGTATTCAGAATGTGTTGTATGAATAGGCACAAGTATTCTAAAATGTGATATATTTCTTGGAACCCTCCTGTTTCTTTCTCCTCCATTTTCACACAATCTTATCCATCCATGATCAATTATGTCATAAGAGTGACCGAAAAAAAAAAGTGCTATTTACGAAAATATAATATATTTCTTAAAAATAAATGGGAGTTGATTTCCCCACTCCCTTTTGCTTTTTAATACTTTTTAATCAATTTTGTTATTTCTCTTTCCTATTCTATCCTTACCCTACATTAATTTCTTTTTTACTTCACTTTCTTAAATTTTCAACTTACACTCCATTTTCAGTATTATAGAGAAAAATAAAACTTAATTTCTTACTCGATTAAAGAAAAAAAAAATACAAATTTATAAATAAACCCAATCCTAGACATGTATTTATAAAAAAACCCAAGCACTATTTAAACATAGAAACAAACCCAAAATCAACCGCAAAATAAACAATTGTATATTTTTTGGGTGTGTTTATAAATGGGTTTTGAATGTGTGTAATGATGGGTTTTGGGTGTGTTTATAAAGTGTTTTGGGTGTTGGGTTTTTTTATAATTTCAACCCCCATTTTGGGTGTTTTAGTGAAACTCCCAAAAAAATATATACTAAAAATGGAGTGCAAGTTGGAAAATTAAGTATTTTAAAAAAAAAAACTAATATAAAAGTGAAGTAAAATGAAATTAATGTAGGGTAAGGGTAGAATAGGAAAGAGAAAGAACAAAATTGATTAAAAAGTATTAAAAAGCAAAAGGGAGTGTAAGTGGAGAAAATGAGACTGGGGAAATCATATCGCTTTATCAAATAGAAACTTCATTAGATAAACTTTAATAATACAATCAAAGACATCAACAAGACATCTAACATAGCAATCCCAAGAGGGCAACAAACTAATATGCTAAAAACACAACTAACGCGGACAAAAGACGCACTGAAACTATTAGCCCAGATCACCACAATTAACCGTAAGTCCAAACAAAGCTTACAAACCCAACATAACCAAAACCCTAAAACAACCCATGAGCCTAGACGGACCCTACCACCACCACCTAATGAAGCGCCTTTGCAGCCACACTTACCATCACATCTGTAACATATCTTGGGAAAATATGATTTATAATGATCTACCTTCGCATAACAGTTTAATGGTGTTAAGTTCCTGTTAGTTCAATTAGGATTTTTTTCCCCTTTTTAATTATGAGAAAATTGGGTTATATTTTAAAGATAACGTGTCAACTTAAAGTCTTTTAGATTAAATTTTTATGAGGTGACATACTCAAAAGAAAAGTCAAGCAGATTGTGGTAGATAGAAAAACAAGCAAATGACCTAAATCCCTTGTCAATGTACTAGTGACTTTTATAAACTTTATAAAAATATTTAAGAATATGTCAACATTATAAAAATCACTCACTTAAAACAAATATTTTATTACACTCCTTTAAAATCTTGATTGAATATCTCTGAATTTATAAACCTTTTTAAAAATTGTGAAAATCCGAATGGAATACAGCCTGAAAAAGCAGGAACCACCCAATTCAACACCAATGCAAAGTGGAGAATCTCAAACGTGGGGTCCACACTTTCTCATTTTCCAAATCACACTCGAATTCAGGATTTGTTTTTTGTTACATATATATTCCACTTTTTGCTTGGAAAAAGAAAAGCCCTTATTCCCTTTGATTTCCAAGTCAAAATCATCAAACCTCTCTCTCTCCCTCCTCCTCCGTGAGACCAAAAACCAAAGGGAACATGCAGATTTTCGTGAAAACCCTAACTGGAAAGACCATCACTCTTGAGGTTGAGAGCAGTGACACCATCGACAATGTCAAAGCCAAGATCCAGGTACTGTATCTCTCTCTAATTTGAGTTTTCGTCTCATGTATTTATTTGATTCATTTAGAGGAACAACTTTATTTTATGGAAGCGTTTCTTCGCGATATAATTAGGGTTTCGGTTTCTAGTTAAGATTTGGTTGTTGTTGTATTATGATTTTGTTATTCGGTTTGGTTAATATTTGTATCAGAGTTTGTGATTGTGTGTGTATATATATGTTGGAACAATTCTATAGCGAGGGTTAGGGTTTCTAATTTGAGCTGTTGATGCACTGGATTTTATCGAGTACAAAATTTATTGATTTTCTGAGTTTGTTTAGTTTTATTGTTCTTGGCAAGTAAAAATACAACTGAAGATTTTGCAAAAAACTAGGCCTTGCTGTCATCCAATGGGTTGAGTAGTTCTTGTTTATTTGTGTTCCGTCTTTCCCATAGAACTTTTCATTCCTAATTGTATGATTAAGCCTTTATAACATTGGTTTTGTGAAATGAGATTGTTTCTGTAAGGTTATTGCATATTTCTGTTACTATCATTACTATTCTGCAGTACAAGAAATCCATATAAGCAGACTTGTGTAGTAATTTATACAGAACTAGGGAACTGATTGATAAACACGATGTCAAACAGTTTCAGAGTGTCCTCTGTCTTGAACTAATACTAATGTACTGTAGATTTATCTATTAAAGAACAACTTTTCATCACAAAGAGCTAATCAATTATGTATTTTTACGGCATCACGGAAAAATACCTTAATCACCCAGACAGCTTAGTAGAAATTTGTAAGCGAATTGGATTTAAAATCCGGAAATCATATGATGTTTCGGTCTTTGATATGTACTTTTCTTTTTGCAATTTTTCTTTACTTCCCTTTACATTTATATGCATCAAAGAGATTTATTATTCTTTTTCGTCATGGAATTGCATGGTAACTCATAGATATTTGTTTTCAGGATAAGGAAGGCATCCCTCCTGATCAGCAGAGATTGATTTTTGCTGGTAAGCAATTGGAGGATGGCCGAACTCTTGCAGATTATAACATCCAGAAGGAGTCAACGCTTCACCTGGTTTTGAGGCTGAGGGGAGGAACTATGATTAAGGTGAAGACTCTTACTGGGAAAGAAATTGAGATTGATATTGAACCAAATGATACCATTGACCGGATCAAGGAAAGGGTTGAGGAGAAAGAGGGAATTCCTCCAGTGCAACAAAGGTATATTTTCTTTTGTTATTATATTTTATTTCACTAAAATAATGTGTTGCTTGAACTCAAGTTATTTCTGAGTTTTCATTGTCTTTTCATCAGTATATATTAGATGTTAATCATTTCACTTCACAGTGTATTTATATCTCATGCCATTTTTCATGTAAATATAATATTATTTGGGTTTTGCTGTATGTGGTAATGGAATTTCTTATGACTAGAGTAAATTTGATGAATTAAAAAATTGATGTACTGAGATTATTGCTTTTCCCTTGATCTAGCTATGTGTGTTTGCATTAAAATTGGGCAGTGAGTGTGCATGAACTTAGTGCCCTTTTTTTTCGGTTACACTGGAGGAAAGAAAACCCCACTGGGGTTTGATACTGTGTGCCATGGGGGAAGGGGGAATCCACCACCACTGTGGTGGGAACCCATTGGCCCATTTTGTCTTTTTAGTGTTGGATGTTTTACCGACTCATTATTTCTTTACTTCGAAAAGGCTTTGATTCATGAATTACGCTCTCTATCTCTATAGCACTGAGAATTTCTTTTCCAGTGGGTGAGATTGTTCAAAATAATAGGTTGTCAACATATAACTTTTGTTTGTATTCCTATTTGGGATATTTTAGTTGCTTCTAGTTTGAATTGGATATTGTCTTCTTGTGTGATTCAACATTTGTTTTGAATTTTTTGTGAGAGATGGTTCAAAATCTTGGGGATTTGAAATGGCACGGCCTTCTTGTTATTGAATCTTACATAGCTCTTATTGTTTGTCTTCATAGCTCATGTTATTAGAAATGGCACGGCCTTCTTGTTATTGAATCTTACATAGATCTTATTGTTTGTCTTCTTAGCTCATGTTGTTTGTCTTCTGCAACATTGTTATTTTTATTAATTTTATACTTGACAGCTCCTATTAAGATATCGTTTGGCCACGTGTTTAATGGCCAACTAAACAAGTCAGGAGATGTTTTTGATGTCTAATGATTTGTAATGTAATATTTGATTCAAAGATCTAATTTATTTTACAACTGTTTGCAGGCTTATCTACGCTGGCAAGCAGCTTGGAGACGACAAAACAGCTAAAGACTACAACATTGAGGGGGGCTCTGTCCTTCATCTGGTGCTTGCACTACGGGGTGGCAGTCTTTAAATCGTATTTTCGGTTAAGGCAAACTCTTTTGTTTGGGCTTTTATTGAGTCTTGATACTTGAAAGCGTTTGAGTTGCATGTCTTTGTTGATAAATTCGAATACATGGCAAAAAAGCTTCTTGTTCTAAGTTGGTTATTGTGGACATAATTATTACTGTGTTACATACATAATTCTCTCTCTCTCTCTCTTGCTCTCGCTCTCCCCCTCCCTCCCTCCCTGTTTTATTTGTGATGCTTTCCCTCGAGATACGTATTAACCAAAGTAAATGAATCTG